TGTGTGTGTGTGTGTCCGTGTTGTGTGTGTGTGTTTGGTGTGTGTGTGTGTGTGTGTGTGTGTGTGTGTGTGTGTGTGTGTGTGTGTGTGTGTGTGTGTGTGTGTGTGTGTGTGTGTGTGTGTGTGTGTGTGTGTGTGTGTGTGTGTGTGTGTGTGTGTGTGTACCAACCAGTCCGGACTAATTGCTTGTACTAGTCCATACTTTTGCTATATACTATAGTGTTAGCCCACTGACATACAATGCCGCATGAATACCCCACTCAGACACAGTATACCGATCAGTCATTCTTTTAGTCCCTCAATGCAGAGCGCCATGCAGGGAAACAACAAGTACCATCTTTTGACTTCTTTTGTTACGACGCAGCCGGGGATCGATCACCACGCCTTCCGCTCACCGGGCGGACGCTCTACCATTAGACCACAGAGGTCACCTGGTTTAGTATTTGAACGTTGTGTCCATGCACTGTGATCATGGATGGGTTAACACTTACAGGGACATATTCAGTACAGCATGGGCGCTTTCTTTTTTATATGATGATATGAGGATAATTGTTTTGTTGATAAAGTACATGTATGGTTGAATCTATACTACTGACAAAAAGAAAGGGATATAATGATTTAAAGGGGAAGGGGGAGAAGAGAGAGAGGGGAGGGGGGAGGCGTCAATGTCTCAGGTCGCCCGAATGTTTGGCAAATCAAAAAGTGTAATATCTCGACTGTTGGAAAAGTACTATCAAACGGGTGGGGTTGCTACGAGACCTGGGCGTGGCAGGCCTAAAAAACGTCACCTAGACATGATCTTCATAATAGATTCAAATCTGATCCTGTTATCAAAAGAGAATTCAGCACAATAACAGGGGAATATCGACACCTACCCTTGAAAACCGGTTGTATGTAGCCCACCTAAAAGTAAGGTGTCCTGTGAAGAGTATAAACATAACAGTTGACCATAGGCGGCAAGTTTGGGTGGGATAGGTAACACCAGGGGGCGGGGTGTGCCCCAATGGCGTTACACCATGCTTACAGACGAATCAAGGTGTTTGTCTCCAATTCACAGATGGCAACAATGCTTAACCATGATCGATATAGGGTGGTAGTGTCATGGTGTGGGGCGGTTTAACACATGACAGATGAACTGACTGGTTCATTGGAAATGGACATTTGACTGGCCAGTGAGATTTTGACGGAAGTTTGCGTCCTGGCGTTGTTCGATTCCCTGGAAGTATCGGCAGACATGTTGAACTGCAAGATGACAATTCCAGACCAGTATCTCTGACGAGAAGGCAATAATTGAGTCCTGATATTGTGGGTGATACTACTACATACAAATGAATAGATAATGAACAGATAATAGAATGACACATCTTATCAACACATTGTGGAGCTGCCTATGTTGCCACAGATGCACGAGGGCAGTTTTTTTTATTTTCCTTCTATGAAATAAATAATGTGAAATAAATGTGTAAATGTTGTCATTTGAAATATATCACAGCTCCGTCTAATCTTTACAAAACATGATGTAAAAATATTTATTTTCAATGCAAGAATAACTAGCACCAGGTGTTTGCCATTCATACAATTTGCAATAAAAAGTAAGTATTTATAAAATATGCCCGAGTGCTATTTTTATGATCTGTATGACAAGTCCAATGCGCTTCAATTTCAAAATTTTAATTTTCCTCGCATATTTATAAGGCCTGGTTTGAACATATTAAATTTACACATAATTTTTTTTAGTATGACCTTATTGAACTGACTCATATGACCACTGGGTTAGTCTGACCTGTGCTGATAACGTGATATTTATTATTATCCCCTCTGTAAAATGACGGAGACAGATAAGTAGAGATATACTAGAGGTTTGCTAAAATTGATTGTACCATTCGGACAATATCATGGGCATGAATAAATGAAACTCAGTCAAATAGTGATGATACCAGGTGTTCGCGAAAAGGTGAGTGTATTCTGCACCACCGGTGGCAACCGTCGCAAATACATGCAAAAGCAAGTCAACTGTCCACTTGAAAAATACACGGGATCATATGGTACGAGTCAATGAAGGGAATTGCATCGAACACATTGACATATGGCTGAAATAATGCCGATGTGACGTTTAATTTTAACTCACTCACTGACATGAAAAGATTATTTGGTGTTTCCGCTGTTCCTCCTAACGTTGTGCTCCCTCCGTTCAAGATGTCAACTTGTACATTCAATATACTATTCCCGATTTTGAGTTATTTTTGCAATTCATTTTTCTCATTTGGAGCCAAACGGACTGTACTAAAAGGAACGATATTTACATCTACACCCTGTGGAGCTACTAATTATGACTCGGGCGTTTGAGAGTCGTTTTGTGTGGTCCTTCTTTGAAATGGATGTATTCCTTTAACATTCCATTGGGGAATGGATGTCCCGGGTCGTCTAAGGCGCAACAATTCGCTCTGCAGAGTTGCGTTCCTTGGGAACACCAGAAACATATGATTGAATCCTGTTTCGCCCCGATTATGTGTCTAGGTCAATTATTGTTTTAACATAAACAGGTGCTCAACTATTTTTTTAAGTCAATATACATAATCGAACTGTAATATTCGGAATGTCGTCTGTTTCGTCAGCGAGTTCCTCCCACCCATTGCAGACGTATTTGAAGGTGCTGCTTTTGCTGGATGTGAGCTCGATTGTTTGTCTTGGCTGCTCTTTGTCTTTGTTGAGCGGGTTGCCAGAAAAGCAGAGGGGTTCACGAACTTTAGCTTTTGCCTTCAGGCTATCTGTAACAGGTTCCCATCCTGGAGGTAGACTACGACGATCGGGGATACAAAGCTTGCTTGAGTATGACTGTGAAAAAGATTCCATACAGGGTAGGTTCAAGTACACATTGCCCTGATTTACACCACTTCGGATGTCGACAGCCTCACTGGAAGAGCTATTGAACTGCATGGCGCCTTTCATGTCAGTTTGGAGTGACTGAATCATAACGAGGAGCCAATCTTGGCACACGCAAAGTCGAAGGCTTTTGTGAGGTTGATAATGTGAAATGGAATGGCTGATTCTTCTCTCTGCGCTTTTCCTGCCGCTGTCGTCTGAGAAGAGCATGTTGATCATGGATCATTCTTTCCGGAATCCAAACTAATTCGGGATATACCATATTAACAAGTCTGCTGAGGACCACACAAGTGAAGAACAATCCTGCAATGCTCAGCAAAGAGATCCAGGAGTAGTTTTGACAAACGCTGCTATCACCCTTGTTCGTGTACAAGGTTATGATGTTGCAGTCAACAGTGCCATGGGGTACCACACCCTCCTCCAACACTGGCACAGATGTTCAAACGGGTGACTTAGCAGGAGCCCCATGTCCATTGTTGGCAGCCTCTGGGGGGATCCTTCCATTCCGAGCAATAACCAGAAAGGCAGCCTTTTCTTGGCCTTGCTCAGCTCCTCCATCGAGGATGTCTCGTCCTCCTCCTCCCCCTCCTCCCCCATTACTGGCAGGCACTAAATGGCTTCCAGTGCAGAGTCAGAGATGTTGTGTTCCATAGAATAGAGTTGAGTAGAGCTCAACCTATCTCTCCGTCTGCTTGCATCTGTCACTGATCGTTTTGCCTGTTGTAACCATCTTGTTTTGAGTTGAACTTATGTATTTCTTGATGCGATGTGATGAGTTGACAATTGAATGCAGACATGCAAACCGTGTGCCGAGGTTTAGTCTGGAAAAAGGATTCGATCCTGCAAAGGTAGTGGTGTCTGCACAACTCAAGAAGATGCCCATCTTCGTTCATCCTGACAGCTCTGTATTGTCCCTGCCAGCATGGCCGCGTGGTCAGTACCCACTCCTCATTGAAGTCGCCCAGCAGTAGCTCGTAGAAGTGGAACTCGTCCTTCAGGTAGGAACGTCCACCCTGATGAAGCCCATTACATGTGACAAGTTTGGGGGTCAATTGTAAAACTCCTCCGTTCCATTTTTACAAGGCTTATCATTCTGAGCATTCAATCCTTCACAGCAAAGCTGACACCATGCTTGCTGGTTTGAGCAGGCCCTGTAGCAAGGCGATGTCCACTTGTAGTCTTCAGAGTTTGTTGTGGATGAGAGCAGTCTTGGGTACATCCCTCATCCACTGACAGGTCCACTGACAATCCTGTCGTCATGGTGCTAATATACGAGCATCCCAACCAAAGAGCTGGCTTCATGAGTTTCTTTCGTCCTGCTATGTTCTCTTATTTGGTGCAAAGTTTACAGTCTGCGGGTCAGACATACCAGAGCACAATGCATTGATACTCTCCACTATCGGAAGCAGCCGCTGGGGCTATATTCTACGCCAATAAAGATAGACTTATCGGAGGAGTACTGCTACCAGCCTGTCGGTTACCGTGAGTTGATGCTGGAGGAGTTACCGCTCCAGGTCACAGACCTGGGCAGTGTGATGCCATTTCAAGAGGTCCCAACTCTCCACGTATCGCTGATAGAAACAAGGGAAGGGAAAAATACAATACTACTTGGTATTAACGGCGTAGTAAGAGCTGCATGAGGGGTTTTGAAGATAACAACTTACTGCATAAGGGACTCCGACTCCTTCAGCCTTACCAATGGATGGAACAGACGCAAGGCAGCGTGGGATATGAGTGAGAGTTTATTCTCTCCTAGACGAGAAGCTAGCCAATACTGACTAGACCCCTTAGCCCAATGCAACTGGTTTTTGAGATGCCAAAATATCATTCGTCCTCTATGCCACCGCAGTTTTACAGAGCCTTGGCCAGGTCACACTAAAATTAGAATAACTTTTTAACTTACCTTTGCTTCACAAAATTGAAATACACACAGTCTGAAAAAAAGAATATATTTTTTCCTACAATGCGAGGCATATATAAATAAAATAGGTGAAAGAGGGGTTTGTATATTTTAAGAAACCTCCCCCAACCAGAAATGAAATGGTTGCTCCCTTACAGGTTATACTTCCCTGTGTCCTAATGTTTGCTCCTCCCTATACCCACGACCACATCAACAATGTCACCACAACCACTTGTTCCACTACAGTGGCCATGGTGGGCGGATCCCTCTCTCTGCATTCTAACGCAGATCTGTAGAGGATTATAGGGCAGGCTGGGACTTCTAGTGGTGGGTGAGATCGCAGGTACAGGTATGTGTGTTTAAGGTTCATAATGTTCATTAATGTAGTTTGTATGATCGTTGTAGAAATATAAGCTCAACGCCGAAGAATATCAGTGATGATACCAGGTGTTCGCAAAAGGAGAAAGCATGTCCTGCCTACCCGCAGCCTTTAGGAGGGATATTCACTTGTTGTTACATGTTGGTATCTGTGTGACCATAGTCATGAATACTACCCATCCCCCCCACCCACCCACCCACCCTTCCCCTACAATGGGTAGATTCCTGTATAAACAGTCTTACCAAAATGTATTCCACTCTATTGACACTGTCACCATGAACCGAGATATATTTACACATAAGTTGTTTCTAATACAACTGTCAAAATGCTATACCTGCTGCATTCAGGACAAGGAATTAATTTGCTCAACAAGGAAGTAAATCATACAGGCTGGGACTCTCAATGGTGGGTGAGATCACATGCACAGGTATGTGTGTTATCTGTTTCAAGGCACAGTCGCAGTCATAGTTGTATCCACAATTCTAAGAAAGATAGAGGAAAGATAAAGACATGTTTACTTCTATGTATCATATCTCGATACTGTATAAAAACGTAATGACGTGGAGGATATTTCCAAATTTGACACATCAATCGCAAAAAGTATGTCTGATCGCGATGCAGTTCTCTATTTTGACCTGTCCCATATGTTCCCGTGTTTTTAGGTGAACAACTACATTGCCTTTGCATGTGTTTCTGACGTGTAACACTGGTGGAGCAGGAACACCTGGTATCATCACTATTTGATAACGATTCATTAACGATTCATTAACACATGATGTAGTTGGAGTTGTACAATCGACTCTGCTTTTGGTGGATGTTTATTATGAGCATGGAAAGGATTTTGTTGCTTATATTTACAATTATATAATGAGTGGGTGAGTTAATATTTAACGTCACATTGGCAATGTTTCAGCCATATCGTGACGAGACAAATATTTACATTAAAGATGAATGTTTAAACTGAATGTTTACACTGTATAAAATCCTGTCTCTGAAGGACAGTTATAATAACTCGAATATCACAGATGTACGTAAAACTAGTTTGCCATTTAGAGCATGTAAACATATATTAGCCTTCAACAACACAATGTGAAAATGGGCTTAGATCGCCAGCAACTGAAGGCAGATCACCACACTCGGTACCATGGGGACTTAATATTATAATTAGTGGAGAAGGAGTCCATGTGAATGAATGGTCTGTGAAAGGAAGCAGCTGACGTCTTACCTTATCTTACCTTATCTTACCTTATCGTGGCGAAGAAACAAGAGGTCAGCCTGATGAACTTCATTTGTTGTAAAAATATCAAACTTCTTCCTCGGTATATAACGCGGTGCTGGTAAATATATTTGTCACATCGCTTGTTTCTTTAACCAATCCTTGGCCACATCTTTAGATACCTTAGCCGCGGTGGCTAATTTTTTTATTGCTCCTACACCTTTCCAATATCCTCGTGGGCTATAATAAATTTTATTCATTATTAATTAATATTGATGTTTCTTTTAATACGACTTATGACTATCGTTGAATCGCATAATCATTTTGGCATAAAAAATGCACCCTGTAGTAGCAGTATAGGTATATAAATCCGGCTCCAGTGGAAGTGAGCCAGAACCCCTATTACCTATACTACTGAACTCATTATTATATACGCGTAGACACATATACTTTAATTCCCATATTATTTAAATAATAAACAACTATAACATATGGATCTTTCTGTGCGTAACATATGCTCAGTGTCATTGTGACATAACAGAAGAACGTGTACATTCAAACACGTTTACACGTACTGCACAGGGTATTACAATCAGACACACGGTCAGTAAGACAGCTTACTATCTTGTATTAATTTGTAATTATGTATTATGTACATCAATTGTCGTCAGTGCATCTAAGTCAGTGCATCTTTGTGTTTTTCTCCAGATATTAAAAAGCTTTCGTGAATGCGTCGGATGGTAGTTGAAGCATTATTTACGCTAAAATTCGGTTTAATGTCCCATATGAGTACAATGAGAACCCTGTAATCTGGTGCATCTACATGTATATTATCCTGTGGATATGTTGCTGGACTCTTTAATAACCGACGTATATCAATATTATGTTCAGAATGATCAGTTCAGTGTGGCACATGTGGCAGTGTGGCAACACGATGTCATGTATAATGTGTTCAACACTCAAGCGAAAATAACTGTATGATGATTAAAGTTAAACGTGCGTTTAAATATTGTTAGTTTTATGATAATAAATAACCAGGTTTAATTGTTCTGACGTGTGGTATTTACCTATTGTGTATATACGATATATATGTAGTTATTTCAGTCAAGTGAAAAATCGAAACTTTCGCAATCCCCCCATTTATATTCCAAGTGGGGATAAGCCTTGGAACTTGTTGTGTGATTCCGTTATCATCACCTCCCTTGTATGACATTTGATTTCCATCCATGTTCATTCTTCTGACCGCCACCGTGGTCTTGTGGTAGAGCGTCCGCCCAGAGAGCGGAAGGTCCGGGGTTCGATCCCTGGCCGCGTCATACAAAAAGACGTTAAAAGATGGTACTTGTTGCTACCCTGTCTGGCGCACGGCATTAAGGGGCTAAAACAAGGACCTGTCGGTTCGGAGTCAGTATACTGCGACTGAGTGGGGTATTCATGTGAAACTGTGGCATGGTATCTCAGTGACCTAGCACTATAAATCGGCATCAGTCCAGACTAGTACAAGCATCCACACACACACATACACGTGCATGCACGCCGCTATGTAAGTGCAATAATCTTGGACGCGACGTTTAACCCAATTTCACCTCACCTCACCATGTTCATTCTGCTGGAGAAGTTGTACACTATCATTTGTAACCAAGTCACAGACATACTGGGGTTTGAGTTTTCTAATGTAGACCTTTACAATGAATGTATACCATGTACAATATTTGGGTGCGGGGATGCTCGAAATTAGTGATATGATATTCCGCCGATTGATGAATAATTGAATGAATATTGGGACACAAACACTTTTAAATGCTTGAGCACTTGAAATTGATTTGAAATTGGGAAAAAAAACAGCCTTCTTATGATAATTCCCATATTCTCACTTGTACGTTGTATAATGTCTAATCTGTAAGGGAGATCCTTATAATTAGGAGTAGATACTGTTTTTAGTTTTTTTAATTGTTTAACGATTTTTTAAAGTTGTTCACGAATACACGTTCATGGTGTTAGGAATCGCAATTCATTGTAACTGTCTCTCTGTATATGCGGATTGATTAATACCTTCAGTAAAAGTCTCTTCTTATAATTAGGTCAGTTTACTCTTGAATACACAATGTCACTCGCCTAAGAGGATGTTGTGTATCTAATTACAGAGTCGGTGCGTCTACAATACCTGGTCTCGTTCAATTACAATCTGCTACACCACGCGTGAATAAACAGTTATGCTAGGTGCAAATACCTTGCCTGTATATATACTTTTGTAGATACATGTATGACATATTTTCGTTAATTGTGGATATATTAGGTGCAAAGTATCAAAAGTTTATGAAAGATGAATTGGTGCCTTGATAAACACCGCGTTCCCGATGTGTATCATCGCATAATGGTTCATTCTGTTACATGTGTGTTTGGAGGCGATAGCAAAGGCGCAGCCCAGCAGACACAGACAGTGTTGTCCGTTTCGCGTGAACTACCATCCCATTTCCCCACCTTGTTAGTACAATACAATACAATACAATACAATATAGTTTATTAAAGTCTCACCATTTGTACAGCAGGGGTTTAAATAAAGCATTTTAAATATCTAAAAACTTAAAAGTACAAATGCCACCCAGGGGGGTTACGAGAGACTATATCTTACACAAATATAAGTGCTTTATAAAATAATGTAAAATGAGATAAAGTTATACATAATATTATAATCATAGTCATTATTTAGGAATATAAATATTAAGAATGTAAATGATAAGATAAAGAGTTAAATATATTGTTAAATTATACATAAAATAATTTTCTACGCATAAACATTTTGAAGCACATGCTTCCTAATAGTGGTAAGTTACAATGGTTATTTAAAATGGTGATATCTACAGGTGTAGGATAGAACATATTCTTAAGATAAGATGTACGAATATCGTCATAAAAGGGACAGTGTAAAAGAAAGTGGGTTTCGTCTTCAACTTGGTCTGTACAATATTTACAAAAGCGTTGTGTAGCCGGGATAGGGGGGGGGGGCAGTATCGGCCCGTTTCAATCTCCAGTTTTAGGGAACCACATCTCAGGGAAGCAAGTATCCATCGCTGGTATCTTGGGAGTCGAGTGTAACTCTCAGTGAACAACTCAGTCTTAAAAAGTTAGTCAGTGTTATGAAATCGGTACACAAAAAACTTGCGGTGTCAGTGTGGAAGGATGCACGCAACTCTCGTAAACAACGGCTGTCAATCTGTCTGCTTCAGCTACCATACAATTCTCCCTGTCACAACTGTCGTTGAACCGTCTTTTTCAGAATATTAATTGTAAATTGATACAAAACAGTTAAGTAAGATAACTGGTCGATCAACTGGATGTTACATCCTTATTAGCTAACGGCCCTGTTTGTGAACATATGCACTAGATATAAGATTCAAGGACTAATAAAATCAATTGTAAACCGTACAGACAATACAGACAAATAAAACATGTCTTGGCATCATGTGTTGTGTTTTAGATGATGGTTATGACCTGAAATGTTATGCCGTTCGATTAGGAAGGAGAAACATTGGCAACACTGACATGAGCAATAAGATGAAGCAACATTAACGGGCCCAACAGGATAGAGAGAAAATGGCTCAATCAAATAGATTTTAATTTTAAAACTATTTTACTGAACAAACTTGCGTGTGCACAAGCGGTCTCTAAAGATAGGATATTGCATAAACAACACAGACGATTAGCAAGTGTTTGTCATGCTATGCGTATACTTCCATGTACACACATCCAGATATACCACCTGTGTGAAGCATTTTGAAGCTGAGAACTGAGATGCCAAGTATTAGTGCACTCACATACAGAAGTAATGTCATTCTTAAGTGTATGTCGTTTCTCTGAAAAATGAAACTCTGAAGTATTTTGAATTGTAGTAAATATTGTACTGAATAAAACTTGGTAACTCAGCGTTACTTTGGGTCTCCGAGAGATATGATTTTCAGTTCATTGACAGCTTTGATTAATAGGGATGGCGTACATGTAGTCACTTACTAAACTCCGGCTGTTTTTTATCGGGTATGAATAGATGATTCGTCTAGTCATCCATTTTACGATTCTTGCCTCATCATTCCAGCAGAGAGTTGTCATTTCTTTTTTAAATTATTATATATATATATATATATGTATTGTCCATTGGAGTAGATACGTACATCACTGTATCTCAGAACGCAGAACCGATAACATCCAAACATGTTATAAGTACAGAGAGTTCGTTATACGAGTAAAGTTTATATGATATTATATTGGAGATAAATCGAGGATTTTTTAACAGTTCGTTGTATCCGTTTGTTCGCTATATCCGTGTTCGTTATAACCGTGTTCTAATGTACTGAGAGAATTGTTACATATCATTTCTTGTACATTCATGGTTGAATAAAGAGTCCACATGTAAGCTGTAATCGGTGCAACTGTGTGTCCACATGTACAGTCTCAGCTGGCTAACGTCACATTTCCCATCAAGTCAGCTCTATTTTTCAAGCATTATTTAGTTTTCAATGATATTTTGAATGAAAGAAATTAAAATGAAATTAGTTTTATAACCATATTTCTAAACCCTACGTGTATTTTGTCCAAAACAAAAACGTATACACCCGTTCTACATTTCGTTCCAATGGATATACATGGACCATTCAACTCGCTCGCGAAGGTCGAGGTCGTATACGACGTTAAAGTGAACACAATTTTATAGTATATATAGGTTTATATTTTATAGTATATATACAGTTTTAATTGGCTAGCGTTTTCAACTCGTACCACGAATGGCGTAGTGTTGTGAATGAAATTAGAATATGAATAGTGAAAAACAGTCACCATATGAGATGTACATGTATCACTTGTCTTCCAACACAACGCCTGTGCCGCCGACGTCCGGGGGTCATAAAACTAATTGGTCCCATGAAAGGGGCAATTAGTTTCGCAGATACTCCGCAGTGCCTCAGGAGTTTTACACACATTAGTCCCCGCGTAGGCACGCCAAAATTTTACACACATTCTGCGTAGTCCCCGCGTAGGTACGCCAAAGTTTTACATACATTCTGCGTAGTCCCCGCGTAGCTACGCCAAAGTTTTACACACATTCTGCGTAGTCCCCGTCTGCGGAAGTTTTGCAAAATAAAGTAAAAGACTTTTAGGTTGTAGTGTACGTAACTTTCCTATCCTTGGCATAGCCATTTCCATCTCACCCATGCTAAATAAATTAAGTGTTTTACTTTGATATGGCATGTAGCGCTTTGGATACGTTTTTGGTCATGGATTTGGCGCATTATAAATATTGACATTATCATCACATTATTATTATGTTTAACGTCATTTAGGAGATACAAAGGATGGACTGCTTTCACATGTGGGGTCGGTTGTTAATAATGCCAGTACATTCCATGTATGATGTATAATACATGCTACATCTACTCTTGGTGTGCTGCAGACCGCCACCGTGGTCTAGTGGTAGAGCGTCCGCCCAGAGAGCGGAAGGTCCGGGGTTCGATCCCCAACCGCGTCATACCAAAAGACGTTGAAAGATGGTACTTGTTGTTACCCTGTCTGGCGCACGGCATTCAGGGGCTAAAACACGGACTGGTCGGATCGGAGTCAGTATACTGTGTCTGAGCGGGGTATTTATGTTAAACTGTGGTATGGTATCTCAGTGAGCTAGCACTATAAATCGGCATCAGTCCGAACTAGTACAAGCAGCCACACAAACACACACACGTACATGCACGTCGCTATATAAGAGCAATAATCTTGGACGCGACGTTAAACACCATTTCACCTCACCTTGGTGTGCTGCAGCTTGATAGATAGTTAGATTGTTTGTAAATAAACTACGGGTGAAGTTAGATCTTATCTAGAAAAACATAGCCAACATACACTCGGGTGCACCCAATTGATTTCTAGGGAGGGGAATAGATGAACAGTTTGTTGTTCAGGTATATAATAGTTTCAAAGGTTTGCTGGCAGTGGTGAAAGAAATGTAAAATTTCGGTTGATCATTCTTTTTAAAATACCAAATATATCAATGGTGAAAATAAATAGATTGTTAGATTGTTGGATAATGTGTTGCTATAACTTGGGAGAAAAAAACACATCAACTGGATACTCGCTTGACATGTTTCAGGAACAGGAATTCGCATTTGGAAGAAAGAAACAATGAAGTGTTGTCATCCGCTTGGTCTTCTGACATGCATTACTTTTGTCTCTGGAAGTAAGTTGTCGGAAAAAGAGGTATCGTTTGTGAAGCTGTGACTGTTTAAATTGTTAGCTGTAAATCATTTTTACCTTACTTATTATTCTCGTGATATTTTAGCAGCTAGTCACTGGCATTGGGTGGTAAAGTGACACAATAGGGTTGCGGTATCAACAATCGTACCTGAAAATAGAGAATGCATTGAAGATACTTATACTAAAGCATCTTTTAGCTGTGTGAATATAATCATCTGTGTACATCTTCTGAACCAAAATCAAATCTGCTACAATGTTACCAACTGTTTACAGCAGATATATTACTGTATGCATCACGCGACATTTTGTCAAGTTGTCAACTCCTGTGTTAAATATGTTTCAGTCACAGGGGCAAGACTGACCACATCACCAACACAAATAACTATTGGGGGAAGTAACCCAACATCTCAGCTGACTTTACGTTGTAGTCCAGATGCACCTGGGATAACACTAGTGTTCAGCATAGAGATTGGCAAGAAATCTTCTACTGGTTCTAATCAGCCTGTAATACGAATGGGCAGCACAGATTCGTCAGTACAAGTAGTGGACACAGGCCTACAACAGCGGATGACAGCCTCAGGTTCTATTACTGGAGCAACAGGAAGCATACAGTTCATCCTGACAGATCTGAGATGTACTGATGCTGCTTCTACATACTATTGCTCCACCCTATACTTGGCGGGGACAGCTGGAAGTGATGAGACAACCACCAACATCACAGCTAGAAGTACTTATGTTTATAGTTACTATCAATATAATGTGTTAGATGTCCTTACACTGTTTTTGAGTAATTCAGAAAACACATCTGACGTCAACATGCATCAGTGTTTCGAAGTATTGACATTCTTTGTCGTAAACTGCTCATCAATGAACATCAGTGATTCTATTATATCTTACAGCTTACCCAGAGCAGATAGAGATGTTCCCAACTCCCGACAGGGTCAGTTATGACAATGGTCAGCTGATCTCATTCAGATGCACTGGTAGGATCGGGAACCAGTTTGATGACAACAATCTCCAGAACCTGTGGACATGGGAGTGGCGATCTATAGACAACGAGTTCACCTCCTGGACACGATATCCAAACGACCAAAACATCACCTATGAGCCTCCTACTCCCGTGTCTGTGTCAGGGGGTTGTCAGTATAACGGGGCGTCAACACTGCTTCATACAGTCTCGAATCTAGACAATGGGAGACAGTTCAGGTGTTCAGTCATTAATGAAGACTACAGTGACAACAAAACAGTTCTTGTTATTGGTAAGATTTCATTTAATATTTAAGTCCTGAGACCAATTTGAATCTATTAACGTCAATACATTTCAACAAGTGGACATGTTACTAACCATAACTATATATTCATTTTATTCTTGGCAGCATTAATCAAGTCTTACTTCATGAACACACACGTACAGCTTAAATATAGATGCCAGCACGTGCATAACAGTGTCAAGTAAACAATGGAAATACATTTTGCAACCGTGTCAATAGGTGTTTTATTCAGCATGTATTTGTATAAGTCATATATATACTACAAGCATATGTATTCTATACATATGTGCCACCACCCATGGTGTAAACAAAGAGATTTTAAATGTAAACTTAAGTAGGTTATCAGGCATATGGTACCAGCATAACAACCATAAATCTTAATTATATTTTCAGAACCAACAACTAGAACAACCACTATTCAACCGAGTGAGTATCGCATCATTCTCATGTACCCCCAAAAACATAAACATTGAGACAGCTACTATGAAGGGCATACTATCCCATATTTCTTTCTGAGGATAAAACTGAGACCAAGATGGACACCTATTTCATTTAAGATGCAAGCCCCTCCCCGCCAACTGACTTCAACTGCACAGAGCACACGGCCTCAGTTTTACCTTACTTATTATTCTCGTGATATTTTAGCAGCTAGTCACTGGCATTGGGTGGTAAAGTGACACAATAGGGTTGCGGTATCAACAATCGTACCTGAAAATAGAGAATGCATTGAAGATACTTATACTAAAGCATCTTTTAGCTGTGTGAATATAATCATCTGTGTACATCTTCTGAACCAAAATCAAATTTGCCACAATGTTACCAACTGTTTACAGCAGATATATTACTGTATGCATCACGCGACATTTTGTCAAGTTGTCGACTCCTGCGTTAAATATTTTTCAGTCACAGGGGCAAGACTGACCACATCACCAACACAAATAACTATTGGGGGAAGTGGCCCAACATCTCAGCTGACTGTACGTTGTAGTCCAGATGCACCTGGGATAACACAAGTCTATAGCATAGAGATTGGCAAGAAATCTTCTACTGGTTCTAATCTGCCTGTAATACGAATGGGCAGCACAGATTCGTCAGTACAAGTAGTGGACACAGGCCTACAACAGCGGATGACAGCCTCAGGTTCTATTACTGGAGCAACAGGAAGCATACAGTTCATCCTGACAGATCTGAGATGTACTGATGCTGCTTCTACATACTATTGCTCCACCCTATACTTGGCGGGGACAGCTGGAAGTGATGAGACAACCACCAACATCACAGCTAGAAGTACTTATGTTTATAGTTACTATCAATATAATGTGTTAGATGTCCTTACACTGTTTTTGAGTAATTCAGAAAACACATCTGACGTCAACATGCATCAGTGTTTCAAAGTATTGACATTCTTTGTCGTAAACTGCTCACCGATGATCATCAGTGATTCTATTATATCTTACAGCTTACCCAGAGCAGATAGAGATGTTCCCCACTCCCGACAGTGTCAGTTATGACAATGGTCAGCTGATCTCATTCAGATGCACTGGGAGGATCGGGAACCAGTTTGATAACAACAATCTCCAGAACCTGTGGACATGGGAGTGGCGATCTATAGACAACGAGTTCACCTCCTGGACACGATATCCAAACGACCAAAACATCACCTATGAGCCTCCTACTCCTGTGTCTGTGTCAGGGGGTTGTCAGTATAACGGGGCGTCAACACTGCTTCATACAGTCTCGAATCTAGACAATGGGAGACAATTCAGGTGTTCAGTCATTAATGAAGACTACAGTGACAACAAAACAGTTCTTGTTATTGGTAAGATTTCATTAAATATTTAAGTCCTGAGACCAATTTGAATCTATCAACGTCAATACATATCAACATGTGAAAATGTTACTAACCGTAACTCAATATTCATCTTATTCTTGGCAGCATTAATCAAGTCTTACTTCATGAACACACACGTACAGCTTAAATATAGATGCCAGCACGTGCATAACAGTGTCAAGTAAACAATGGAAATACATTTTGCAACCGTGTCAATAGGTTTTTTATTCAGCATGTACATGTATTTGTTATAAGTCATATATATACTACATGCATATGTATTCTATACATATGTGCCACTACCCATGGTGTAAACAAAGAGATTTTGTATGTAAACTTAAGTAGGTTATCAGGCATATGGTACCAGCATAACAACCATAAATCTTAATTATATTTTCAGAACCAACAACTAGAACAACCACTATTCAACCGAGTGAGTATCGCATCATTCTCATGTACCCCCAAAAACATCAACATTGAGACAGCTACTATGAAAGGCACACTATCCCATATTTCTTTCTGAGGATAAAACTGAGACCAAGATGGACACCTATTTCATTTTAGATGCAAGCCCCTCCCCGCCAACTGACTTCAACTGCACAGAGCACACGGCCTCAGTTTTACCTTACTTATTATTCTCGTGATATTTTAGCAGCTAGTCAATTGGCATTGAGTGGTAAAGTGACACAATAGGGTTCCGGTATCAACAATCGTACCTGAAAATAGAGAATGCATTGAAGATACTTATACTAAAGCATCTTTTAGCTGTGTGAATATAATCATCTGTGTACATCTTCTGAACCAAAATCAAATCTGCTACAATGTTACCAACTGTTTACAGCAGATATATTACTGTATGCATCACGCGACATTTTGTCAAGTTGTCAACTCCTGTGTTAAATATGTTTCAGTCACAGGGGCAAGACTGACCACATCACCAACACAAATAACTATTGGGGGAAGTAACCCAACATCTCAGCTGACTTTACGTTGTAGTCCAGATGCACCTGGGATAACACTAGTGTTCAGCATAGAGATTGGCAAGAAATCTTCTACTGGTTCTAATCAGCCTGTAATACGAATGGGCAGCACAGATTCGTCAGTACAAGTAGTGGACACAGGCCTACAACAGCGGATGACAGCCTCAGGTTCTATTACTGGAGCAACAGGAAGCATACAGTTCATCCTGACAGATCTGAGATGTACTGATGCTGCTTCTACATACTATTGCTCCACCCTATACTTGGCGGGGACAGCTGGAAGTGATGAGACAACAACCAACATCACAGCTAGAAGTACTTATGTTTATAGTTACTATCAATATAATGTGTTAGATGTCCTTACACTGTTTTTGAGTAATTCAGAAAACACATCTGACGTCAACATGCATCAGTGTTTCAAAGTATTGACATTCTTTGTCGTAAACTGCTCATCAATGAACATCAGTGATTCTATTATATCTTACAGCTTACCCAGAGCAGATAGAGATGTTCCCCACTCCCGACAGGGTCAGTTATGACAATGGTCAGCTGATCTCATTCAGATGCACTGGTAGGATCGGGAACCAGTTTGATGACAACAATCTCCAGAACCTGTGGACATGGGAGTGGCGATCTATAGACAACGAGTTCACCTCCTGGACACGATATCCAAACGACCAAAACATCACCTATGAGCCTCCTACTCCCGTGTCTGTGTCAGGGGGTTGTCAGTATAACGGGGCGTCAACACTGCTTCATACAGTCTCGAATCTAGACAATGGGAGACAGTTCAGGTGTTCAGTCATTAATGAAGACTACAGTGACAACAAAACAGTTCTTGTTATTGGTAAGATTTCATTTAATATTTAAGTCCTGAGACCAATTTGAATCTATTAACGTCAATACATTTCAACAAGTGGACATGTTACTAACCATAACTCAATATTCATTTTATTCTTGGCAGCATTAATCAAGTCTTACTTCATGAACACACACGTACAGCTTAAATATAGATGCCAGCACGTGCATAACAGTGTCAAGTAAACAATGGAAATACATTTTGCAACCGTGTCAATAGGTGTTTTATTCAGCATGTATTTGTATAAGTCATATATATACTACAAGCATATGTATTCTATACATATGTGCCACCACCCATGGTGTAAACAAAGAGATTTTAAATGTAAACTTAAGTGGGTTATCAGGCATATGGTACCAGCATAACAACCATAAATCTTAATTATATTTTCAGAACCAACAACTAGAACAACCACTATTCAACCGAGTGAGTATCGCATCATTCTCATGTACCCCCAAAAACATAAACATTGAGACAGCTTCTATGAAGGGCATACTATCCCATATTTCTTTCTGAGGATAAAACTGAGACCAAGATGGACACCTATTTCATTTAAGATGCAAGCCCCTCCCCGCCAACTGACTTCAACTGCACAGAGCACACGGCCTCAGTTTTACCTTACTTATTATTCTCGTGATATTTTAGCAGCTAGTCACTGGCATTGGGTGGTAAAGTGACACAATAGGGTTCCGGTATCAACAATCGTACCTGAAAATAGAGAATGCATTGAAGATACTTATACTAAAGCATCTTTTAGCTGTGTGAATATAATCATCTGTGTACATCTTCTGAACCAAAATCAAATTTGCCACAATGTTACCAACTGTTTACAGCAGATATATTACTGTATGCATCACGCGACATTTTGTCAAGTTGTCGACTCCTGCGTTAAATATTTTTCAGTCACAGGGGCAAGACTGACCACATCACCAACACAAATAACTATTGGGGGAAGTGGCCCAACATCTCAGCTGACTGTACGTTGTAGTCCAGATGCACCTGGGATAACACAAGTCTATAGCATAGAGATTGGCAAGAAATCTTCTACTGGTTTTCATCTGCCTGTAATACGAACAGGCAGCACAGATTCGTCAGTACAAGTAGTGGACACAGGCCTACAACAGCGGATGACAGCCTCAGGTTCTATTACTGGAGCAACAGGAAGCATACAGTTCATCCTGACAGATCTGAGATGTACTGATGCTGCTTCTACATACTATTGCTCCACCCTATACTTGGCGGGGACAGCTGGAAGTGATGAGACAACCACCAACATCACAGCTAGAAGTACTTATGTTTATAGTTACTATCAATATAATGTGTTAGATGTCCTTACACTGTTTTTGAGTAATTCAGAAAACACATCTGACGTCAACATGCATCAGTGTTTCAAAGTATTGACATTCTTTGTCGTAAACTGCTCACCGATGATCATCAGTGATTCTATTATATCTTACAGCTTACCCAGAGCAGATAGAGATGTTCCCCACTCCCGACAGTGTCAGTTATGACAATGGTCAGCTGATCTCATTCAGATGCACTGGGAGGATCGGGAACCAGTTTGATAACAACAATCTCCAGAACCTGTGGACATGGGAGTGGCGATCTATTGACAACGAGTTCACCTCCTGGACACGATATCCAAACGACCAAAACATCACCTATGAGCCTCCTACTCCCGTGTCTGTGTCAGGGGGTTGTCAGTATAACGGGGCGTCAACACTGCTTCATACAGTCTCGAATCTAGACAATGGGAGACAGTTCAGGTGTTCAGTCATTAATGAAGACTACAGTGACAACAAAACAGTTCTTGTTATTGGTAAGATTTCATTAAATATTTAAGTCCTGAGACCAATTTGAATCTATCAACGTCAATACATATCAACATGTGAAAATGTTACTAACCGTAACTCAATATTCATCTTATTCTTGGCAGCATTAATCAAGTCTTACTTCATGAACACACACGTACAGCTTAAATATAGATGCCAGCACGTGCATAACAGTGTCAAGTAAACAATGGAAATACATTTTGCAACCGTGTCAATAGGTGTTTTATTCAGCATGTATTTGTATAAGTCATATATATACTACAAGCATATGTATTCTATACATATGTGCCACCACCCATGGTGTAAACAAAGAGATTTTAAATGTAAACTTAAGTAGGTTATCAGGCATATGGTACCAGCATAACAACCATAAATCTTAATTATATTTTCAGAACCAACAACTAGAACAACCACTATTCAACCGAGTGAGTATCGCATCATTCTCATGTACCCCCAAAAACATAAACATTGAGACAGCTACTATGAAGGGCATACTATCCCATATTTCTTTCTGAGGATAAAACTGAGACCAAGATGGACACCTATTTTATTTCAGATGCAAGACCCTCCCCGCCAACTGACTTCTACTGCACAGAGCACACGGCCTCAGTTTAACCTTACTTATTATTCTCGTGATATCTTAGCAGCTAGTCACTGGCATTGGGTGGTAAAGTGACACAATAGGGTTCCGGTATCAACAATCGTACCTGAAAATAGAGAATGCATTGAAGATACTTATACTAAAGCATCTTTTAGCTGTGTGAATATAATCATCTGTGTACATCTTCTGAACCAAAGTCAGATCTGCTACAATGTTACAAACTTTTTACAGCAGATATATTACTGTATGCATCACGCGACATTTTGTCAAGTTGTCGACTCCTGCGTTAAATATTTTTCAGTCACAGGGGCAAGACTGACCACATCACCAACACAAATAACTATTGGGGGAAGGAACCCAACATCTCAGCTGACTGTACGTTGTAGACCAGATGCACTTGGGATAACACAAGTCTTTAACATAGAGATTGGCAAGAGATCTTCTACTGGTTTTAATCTGCCTATAATACGAATGACCAACACAGATTCGTACACTTTAGTGGGTTACCAGGCATATGGTACCAGCATAACAACCATAAATCTTAATTATATTTTCAGAAACAACAACTAGAACACCCACCATTCAACCCAGTGAGTATTGCATCATTCTCTTGTACCCCCCAAAACATAAACATTGAGACAGCTATTATGAAGGGCACACTCTCCCACATGTATTTCTAAGCATAAAACTGAGACCAAGATGGACACCTATTTTATTTCAGATGCAAGACCCTCCCCGCCAACTGACTTCTACTGCACAGAGCACACGGCCTCTAGTGTTAAGATGCAGTGGACCTACAGTGACACACGTAGTCGGGGATATGTTTTCATTCTTTCCTTTTGGCAGAAAGACTCAACTGTATGGAGTGTTACTAACGTAACGGCAGACACAGGCATTCCTCAGACGCGACGGACACACAGTGTCCCACGGCTGCAGTCAGACACTCTATACTACTTCCGGTTGCTGGTGGATGGAGGGTTAGCGGGTCAGAGCGAGGCTGTGACTTCAACATGTTTCACGGGAATCGATGGTAAATTATTGCTGGATCAATATTCTCATGATGCTAACACTAGTTCCCCCATTTACATCGATTCTAATCTTTTCAACTAAAATGAAGTCAATGGGGATGACGATGATGATAATGATAATGACGCATAATGCACTAATGACATTTATGATGGTAATTCTCATTTAATGTCAGGCTGAACAAGGGACAAGAATAAGATAACAATGATGACTGATTATGATAAATATATTTTTGTCTAACATATTTCAGAATGTGAAACCTCAAAAGGCATGATGGTGGGGAAGAATGCGGCCATCAGCGTCAGTGTGGTTCTACTTCTGTCATTTTTTTAAAACTAAACCCACAACTTCACAAGATCCAAAAATTATGTTAATTATTACGACATCAGGTGAATGTGTTTGATATTTATGTAACAAATATATTTTGATGGTAACAACATAAAGGAAAACTGTGTGAGCTATGTTTAATACGAGATCCATGTGAATAGTATGTTGGTGACAGAATAGTATCATCTTATTTGCTCGGCCTAGCAATTTGCTTCGTTATGACAGTCTGAGACCTCTTTGTTTCTACCGCATGAGCGATTAACGATGTGTAGATTCAAAACAAAAAAGTTCCTTATAAATTTTGTCAATCCAGCAACATTTTGAACAGTGTCTGGCTAGTTAAATATAAATTCGGCTTTTCCTAGTTGCTTGGACCATCTGAGAAGGGTTTAAGATGTGATAATGATTCAGCTGGTGTAGTGAATTCACTTGTATGTCCAAATAAGCAAATATGTGTGGGAAGATTTGTATCAGCCCAATGCTTTAACTTATGTACATCTGTTATATTTGTTTTCCATGCCAATTCCCATTTATTTTATGAATAGGTGATCAGCACTTATAATTTCATCTAAATGTGAGTAGTAAATAACGGAATCTTTGGACACTGTCATATGTGTATAGTTTCATTTTTTACTACCTTATTATTCAGTTTATGTAACTTTAGTTTAATATATCTTTGCAAAGGCGTGTAGTTTGAACAGCCTGGTGGGAGAATAGAAGATGGTTCCCCCAAATACTGGAAATATAATGATTCGTGGTATTGTTTCACAATCAAGTCACCTTACAAAATAATGCTTATAGTCTGGCATAATATGACAGCAATATATCCACAAACAAGCAACATTGTAGCATTATATCATTATATCACGTGTGTTGTGGAATCAACAGGACTGGACGATATCCTCCAACTAATTTAACAATATACCAAAATCGTTATTATTATTTGTTTGTTCGTTGTTTAACGCCGCACGCAACTCTCAATCCAGTTTGAAATTGTAAAGTTCTCATTTAACTTGACAATTTCGCAAAGCGCCATTTTTGTGACTTGACCAGCGAGTGTTCCTTTGCTTCAAACTGCGGTCTCGTAGCTTACAAGAATATTTTTTTGTTGAGTTGAGTTTGTATATAATCATATCCAAATGTATAATAAAGAGTTCCAGTGACCTCATATATTTGTTATTACTGTTGATACTTTTTTAAGATTTTGCAAACTAGGAACAACTTTTGAAGTCGCAATTACAAATGGGTAGGGGGCGGGTGAAACGTCCCTGCGTGTTAGGTTTACGTTTCAAGGTTTTACATTTGTAACGAAAAAAATAATTTTCCGATAGACAACTGCACAAAAAGTATACAATAAATAGGATATTCCATGTGCCTAGTGAAATGTCATGTTTCTCTCATCCCGTGATTATCTCTTTCTCCCCGTCTCCACTCGATAAGAGAGACTATCCTCCATGTATGTTACATAAACCACAAGAGATACATTGATAATATTTCCATTATGTTCACGAAACGTATTTAATATCATTATTAAATTTACAAATCATATATGTATGTTCATTTATATGACAACTGCGATATGATGACCTTTTCATCACATACCATAAATTCAAATGGTAAAATGTATCCATCCATTGATTCTATGTGGCTGAGTGGGTTGCATCGTTCACTTTGTGTGCTGGCGATTGGGTGCCTCACTCGGCGATTGTGGGTTCGAATCCCTGATGGAACTACTACTACTAGAATCTGTTCTTTTCTTTAAGAAAGTGTTATAATATTTGTTAGATTATTGCACTGAAATGGAAAGTGTATTGCATGGCTGTTTGTACTAGTCCGGACGTATGCCGTTTTTAGAGTGCTTGCCCACGGAAACTCTGGGCAGACAAGTCCCTGTACTATCCTCTTTATACTAAGGGCCAGCAGGGTGACAACACGTATCATCTATTACCGTCTTTTGACGTAGCCGGGCATCGTCTTCCCGAGGCAAGGGGGTTAACTGACTATACAAATCCAGTTTCCATCCTTGCCGAACTAGGCTGCACTATGGAGTTACATTTTGGCTGGACTAACAAGTCTGTGCATAGTTTAATCAAAGTCATGTAACGAACTGGACATCCGGTTCGTAAACAATATGGATTTCAACGTGCAGATTTCGGCCGACTGCAGGATTTGCAAAACATGTGTTCCGCCAACTACTAGGCGTCGACAGATATTTTGCAAATTCGTTCATGCTTTTAATCAAGGTGATCACGTGATTTGATGCACTTCGCGCGTTTAACACCCTTTTTATTTCAATATAGATCTTTATCATCGAGCAGATAGTTTTGACTGGGCACCGCCATTTTGTTTGATGAATATTTTTCAGTAACAAAACGCTTCTGAAACAAAGAATAGCACGTTAATTTACTAGACAATGTACATGTCCTTCAAGGTTTGCGAAAAACAATTAATAAGGCTTGGTGCAATTATGTTGATTTAACCATACGTTTCCATAGCTACAAGTGTTAAGAAGGTTTCTAACGTTAGTTACCCAATTTCAACAACCTTGCGTGTCAAAAAGTAGCATCATGTTATAACTTTTCTTCGTGTACCTGTCAAAAGGCATACGTATAATTTTAACTTATACTTAATTACTCGAATCTTTGCAAAAATATGTAAGGGATATCGTCCACTTTCTCCATACACTATTAAACTTGTGGTAATAGGTTTGACACCAAGGAATTGCTTACATGCATAGAGGTGTAGTTTCTCCACTGAATCATATAATTCCATGCCCCAAATCTCGGCTCCATATTGTAAAATTGTACTTATTTTGTATCTAAAATTTTGTAAAATGTGGGGTATGAAACATCCCCAAGTGTTTTAATTTGAAGGATTCCAATTAAAATATGTTTGCTTGCGTTTGCCAATTGCCCAGTCTTCATGAAATGATGATGTTTCAAGCATAATGTTAAATAAAAGGTCCAGGTATGGAAGAAGTATATCAGTAGTATTTTTAAAGAATACTCCAATAAAGCTATCATATCCAGATGACTTTCCATTCTTAAGATGGTTAATACCCTCCAGGATTTCTTCATGTGTTATTTGCCTATCGAGTACCTTTCGTGATATTACATAATCATCATTATCTAATTCTGTTGGTTGCAAATTCATCAAATTCAATATATTCATCTCCTTCTCCTACAGGGGTAGAACTAAGTTCTAAGACTTTAAAATGCACATACCAATACTTAATATTAATATTAGTTTGCTTGTGCCGTTTTTCCCAAGACTTTTAATTGCTGTCCAAAATGATTTCGAATCGTGAAAATCTTGTTCCAAAAACGTCACCTTATTTTCATAATACTCTGATTTCTTACGTCTACACATTTCATTCTATTGATTACGAACACTGTGATAGTTTTCCAGTGAGGCCGAATGTTTCTTTCTAATAAATGTATTTAAACATCTGCATCTTACTTTAAAGACACACAGTCGATATCACACAACGGCTTTTTGTAGTTAGTATTGCCAGATCTTTTCTGCATATTCTCTGCAGCTATACATAAAGATTTAGCAATGTATTGCACAGTATCCTTAATACTAGAAAATGTTGCATCTACTGTTTTATTTAAATACTTCTACTTCATCATCTGATGATAATTTTCCTATGAAGTCTTCACATCTCTCTTGTTTCCATGCACAATTGAATGAAGCATTTATATATGTGTTCCACGTCTCATGTGTTACACATGGTGTACTGAGACACGCCGTGACAGGAAGATGCGGAGATAGGGGCGGCACTCAGAGTCAAACGTATTACAAATGTCAAACAGGTCGGATGAACAGATTACATAGTCTACAACACTCGCTCACTGCGTGTCAATAAAAGCGTAATCCCCACACTTCGAATCTGTACCGCACTTCCATTCACGATGTGAATGTTAAAAACACTGCACATTTCCAACAAGCATTCACCAAGCCTGTTTACCAACATGTTCCCAGAGTAGCGCTTTAATGTAAAGTTATCTAGCAAATCAACCATGTAAAATTATCATGTTGCTCTAGAACCTCTATAATGTCATCTTCAACAAAATCTGCGTTGATCCCCGTTCTTCAGTTAAAATCACCCCAACAAAATATTAACATCCTTACATGTACTCTATTAGTCTAATAAACTGTCTTAAACCAATGATATTAAATGAGGTAACAAAATTCATAAAACTACAATCATCTTGTTTGGAGCTCAGACCAGACACATTCCAGCAACTAAATCTAGAGTGGTCAGTATCGTTTTTGCTGCCCACGCTTGAGTGAGGTAAAGTTCTTCAGTAACAGTGTCAGTAATATTTCTTACACTTGGATGAGGTGAAATGTCATCTGTTGTTTCACCTGAGTGAAGTTTCCTAAAACCACAAAGGCCCTGACCGCTTGCCTATAAACTGCCTGTTATTTCTCCAGTGTGACTACAGTGTCTCTACCCTGCTGATCCCGGACACGTGGATGACTCTCTACAGTGTCTCTACCCTGCTGGTCCCTCTCACGTGGATGACTGTCTTCAGTGTCTCTACCATGCTGATCCCGCACACGTGGATGACTGTCTACAGTGTCTCTACCCTGCTGGTCCCTCTCACGTGGATGACTGTCTACAGTGTCTCTACCCTGCTGGTCCCTCTCACGTGGATGACGTTCTACAGTGTCTCTACCCTGCTGATCCCACTCACATGGATGACTGTCTACAGTGTCTCTACCCTGCTGATCCCGCACACGTGGATGACTGTCTACAGTGTCTCTACCTTGCTGATCCCGCACACGTGGATGACTGTCTACAGTGTCGCTACCCTGCTGATCCCGCACACGTGGATGACTGTCTACAGTGTCGCTACCCTGCTGATCCCGTAAACGTGGATGACTGTCTACAGTGTCTCTACCCTGCTGACCCCACTCACGTGGATGACTGTCTACAGTGTCGCTACCCTGCTGATCCCGTCAACGTGGATGACTGTCTACAGTGTCTCTACCCTGCTGACCCCACTCACGTGGATGACTGTCTACAGTGTCTCTACCCTGCTGGTCCCGCAAACGTCGATGACTGTCTACAGTGTCTCTACCCTGCTGGTCCCACTCACGTGGATGACTGTCTACAGTGTCTCTACCCTGCTGACCCCACTCACGTGGATGACTGTCTACAATGTCTCTACCATGCTGGTCCCGCAAACGTCGATGACTGTCTACAGTGTCTCTACCCTGCTGGTCCCACTCACGTTGATGACTGTCTACAGTGTCTCTACCATGCTGGTCCCGCAAGCGTGGATGACTGTCTACAGTGTCTCTACCCTGCTGATCCCGCACACGTGGATGACTGTCTACAGTGTCTCTACCCGGCTGATCCCGCACACGTGGATGACTGTCTACAGTGTCTCTACCCTGCTGATATCGCACACGTGGATGACTGTCTACAGTGTCTCTACCCGGCTGATCCCGCACACGTGGATGACTGTCTACAGTGTCTCTACCCTGCTGACCCCACTCACGTGGATGACTGTCTACAGTGTCTCTACCATGCTGGTCCCGCAAACGTCGATGACTGTCTACAGTGTCTCTACCCTGCTGGTCCCACTCACGTGGATGACTGTCTACAGTGTCCATACCCTGCTGATCCCGCAAACGTGGATGACTGTCTACAGTGTCTCTACCATGCTTGTCCCGCAAACGTCGATGACTGTCTACAGTGTCTCTACCATGCTGATCCCGCACACGTGGATGACTGTCTACAGTGTCTCTACCATGCTGGTCCCGCAAGCGTGGATGACTGTCTACAGTGTCTCTACCCTGCTGATCCCGCACACGTGGATGACTGTCTACAGTGTCTCTACCCTGCTGATCCCGCACACGTGGATGACTGTCTACAGTGTCGCTACCCTGCTGATCCAGTCTACGTGGATGACTGTCTACAGTGTCTCTACCTTGCTGACCCCACTCACATGGATGACTGTCTACAGTGTCTCTACCCTGCTGATCCCGCAAACGTAGATGACTGTCTACAGTGTCTCTACCCTGAATGCCGCACACGTGGAAGACTGTCTACAGTGTCGCTACCCTGCTGATCCCGTCAACGTGGATGACTGTCTACAGTGTCTCTACCCTGCTGACCCCACTCACGTGGATGACTGTCTACAGTGTCTCTACCTTGCTGGTCACACTCACGTGGATGACTGTCTACAGTGTCTCTACCCTGCTGACCCCACCCACGTGGATGACTGTCTACAGTGTCTCTACCCTGCTGGCCCCACTCACGTTGATGACTGTCTATAATGTCTCTTCCCTGCTGGTCACACCAACGTGGATGACTGTCTACAATGTCTCTACCCTGCTGGTCCCACTCACGTGGATGACTGTCTACAGTGTCTCTACCCTGCTGACCCCACTCACGTGGATGACTGTCTACAGTGTCTCTACCCTGCTGGTCCCGCACACGTCGATGATTGTCTACAGTGTCTCTACCCTGCTGGTCCCACTCACGTGGATGACTGTCTACAGTGTCTCTACCCTGCTGGCCTCACTCACGTGGATGACTGTCTACAGTGTCTCTTCCCTGCTGGTCATACCCACGTGGATGACTGTCTACAGTGTCTCTACCCTGCTGATATCGCACACGTGGATGACTGTCTACAATGTCTCTACCCTGCTGATCACACCAACGTCGATGACTGTCTACAGTGTCTCTACCCTGCTGGTCCCGCAAACGTGGATGACTGTCTACAGTGTCAATACCCTGCTGATCCAGCTCACGTGGATGACTGTCTACAGTGTCTCTACCCTGCTGATCCCACTCACGTGGATGACTGTCTACAGTGTCTCTACCCTGCTGGTCACACCCACGTCGATGACTGTCTACAGTGTCTCTACCCTGCTGACCCCACTCACGTGGATGACTTTCTACAGTGTTTCTACCCTGCTGATCCCATTCACGTGGATGACTGTCTACAATGTCTCTACCCTGCTGATCCCGCTCACGTGGATGACTGTCTACGGTGTTTCTACCCTGCTGACCCCACTCACGTGGATGACTGTCTACAGTGTCTCTACCCTGCTGACCCCACTCACGTGGATGACTGTCTACAGTGTCAATTTCCTCTGCTGATCCAGCTCACGTGGATGACTGTCTACAGTGTCTCTACCCTGCTGATCCCGCAAACGTGGATGACTGTCTACAGTGTCTCTACCCTGCTGGTCACACCCACGTCGATGACTGTCTACAGTGTCTCTACCCTGCTGACCCCACTCACGTGGATGACTGTCTACAGTGTCTCTACCCTGCTGATCCCACTCACGTGGATGACTGTCTACAGTGTCAATACCCTGCTGATCCCACTCACGTGGATGACTGTCTACAATGTCTCTACCCTGCTGATCCCGCTCACGTGGATGACTGTCTACAATGTCTCTACCCTGCTGGTCCCTCTCACGTGGATGACTGTCTACAGTGTCTCTACCCTGCTGGTCCCACTCACGTGGATGACTGTCTACAGTGTCAATACCCTGCTGATCCCGCTCACGTGGATGACTGTCTACAGTGTCTCTACCCTGCTGACCCCACTCACGTGGATGACTGTCTACAGTGTCTCTACCCTGCTGGTCCCACTCACGTGGATGACTTTCTACAGTGTCTCTACCCTGCTGGTCCCACTCACGTGGATGACTTTCTACAGTGTCTCTACCCTGCTGATCCCGCACACGTGGATGGCTGTCTACAGTGTCTCTACCCTGCTGATCCAGCTTACGTGGATGACTATCAACATTGTCTCTACCCTGCTGAACCCGCACACGTGGATGTCTGTCTACAGTGTCTGTGGTCCGAAGTCAAATCACCGCCCTCGGCTTGTGTCAGGATATCGACACTGCGATCACTTCTCACACTTTGCAATTGTTCAACTTTTATAACACAAATATTTATCAGGGTTTAATGTTCCCAGCCTATTTAACTCTGAACGCTGATTATTTGTCAAATCACTGGCAACTGCAATCCCCATATCCTTTAGGGTGTCTCTCATACCAACAATCTGCAGCTTGTCCACCCGGCAGGTCAGTCTCACTGGAAGTAGGCGTGGTGCCTTGTCCCCTCGTGAGGGGAGCCTTGGGGCACGTTTTATATCTTTAGTAAATAGATAGGATAAACGTGGATCTTTATCTCTAGCTCTAGATTAAGGGACTACATAGGGAATGGGATTGTTTTGTCGACTGTAACGTTCACGGTGTTCAACTCCCCTCAATCTGTCACAATAGATGTTCATATCGTCAGGCTTTTCCGCTAGAGCATCCAGCTCACTGAGATACCATGCCGCAGTTTAACATGGCTACCCCACTCAGACACAATATACTGACTCTGAGCCGACAAGTCCTTGATTCAGCCCCGTAATGCCGAGAACAAGGCAGGGTAACAACAGGTTACATCTCATAACGACTTTTTATATGAAGCGGCCGGGGATGTTAAACTGCGACATGGTATCTCGGTGGCCTAGCACTGTAAGTACCGACTAGTACAAGCAGCCACACTCACACGTGCATGAACTATTTGAGAGAAATACTCTTACCCGCGACGTTAAACCTCATTTCATCTCACTCGCTCATCATACCAAAAACATCATGCAGTTTCACAATAACACCCATCCTAACGTACAGGTAATAGAAAAATGTGACTATCAGTATATGACAACAATGCACATTTCGACACACAAAGACCATAAAAATTAGTATCGTTAAATAAGTATAGCCTTGTGATTGACACATTTACATGCCCGGAATCTGTAACTAGAGAGAAAGGGCATTTTGTATGGAGATCTATTATCATAAAGACAAAATCTGGTCGTACAAAGCCTTAAAACCTCGTTGTGCTTAAACCAGTCATCAAGTACTGAGGCTATAGCTATTATTCTGGGTAGGGGCTGACAAAGGCTGTTATCCAACCCGGGGTATAACAATCGTCTCCACATACCGCAGGGTCACCCGGGCGACACAAACATGTGCAGCCGTGTCCCCGCGGCGATGCAAGACGGCGTTATTAATAGAAAAGAAAGCACTAGATTAACTGTCGGGCTCTTTGTTTCATAACAGATCCAGTTACCCGACACATTGAAATCATACATAGTCACAGCAATGAATATGAAGGAGGTGCTGAATAATACGCTTAGGAAAATATGTACACAACCAAGAAAGGATTTATTAACCATATACATATTGTCTAATGTGTTACAATCTGCTATTTTACCATATTATTCAAACATAATTGTTTCATAAACACATTTGATCATATTCTCCAAAGTAAACAAACATAATTAGTACTTATAAATATGTCATATAAATATTTAGAAGCACATTTCATCTCCTTGTGTAAATAAATAATTACATGTTTAGTCTAAATCAAGTTTATTTGAGGGAAATGACCATATAGGCGCTTGAAATATATTTTTCAATCTAAAAATTTAATCAAAATTTAAATTTTCACATTCAAATTCTCCGTTGCGTCTATTGTGTTATTTTCTTTATTTAGCGTGAAGTGTAGTTATTTTCATTCCCTATTACATACGTACAACAATGTGAAGACCTGACTTTTTAATGACCCACTAAAACGTCAATGAAGCTATAATTATACCCAGGGTATATAATTCCACATGGACGGGGGCAGGGGTGTAGACCCTCGCCACCTGCAGGGGTGTCCTGGATACCCAGTGATGTAGAACACATTTCAGTCAGTCAACACGGACATGGCTGTGTGACGGTACACTCAATCAGGATTAATACCAAGGAATTGTGAGTATTTACGTATATATTATATACTCTGTTTAGGACTGTATGACTGGCCTTATCGTGATACTGGTTTACACGAATAGTTGTTAAAGTTCACATAGTTTGTTTTGAAGGACGCGTTTTGGTTTGGGGTAAACGTGTATGATTTCAATGGTATGTGAGCCTTTGTTTTCGAGTTGTTTGCTGTGGACATCGCCTAAAGGAGAATATTTGTATACAGTGGTGTTGATCAAGAGTTGGAGGATCGGAATGATTAATACCGGAATATAACACTTTAATCGTTATACCAACAAATGGTGAGGTAAGGTGAAATGGGGTTTAACTTAGCGTCCAAGCTTATTGCACTTTTATAGGGACATCTAGCCCACTGAGATACCATGCCGCAGTTTAACATAAATACCCACTCAGACACAGTATACTGACTCCGAGCCGACCAGTCCTTGGTTTATCCCTTTAATGCCAAGCAATACAATCTTTTTACATCTTTTGGTATGATGCGGTGGAACCTTTCGCTCCCCGGGAAGTGGCTCTAGCACTAGACCAAGGAAGCGGTCCAAAGTACTAAAACAATATCACTATCCGGATGGTCTCAATTCAACAACGTTTTCTTTTCGTTTTTGGTCTTTTTGGGTCTTTTTTATGTCATGGATGAATCGACTTTTATTTATCATACTTCAAACAAGTTATATTACATACAAGGGCGTATACCTAATACCTGAACTGTTAATACACTGAACTGTTATTTTGAGACAATATCCTCCTTTATGAAATATAATATGTTGTTATTTCATACACGGAACTCGAGGGTCTATTCAGAGGGTATTGGGGAATCAACAGTGTGGTATTTGGTTCTAAGATTCACCATTAAAAAACAATAATGGTTTACAAAAATTTCCTTCATATATTATTTATTGTATGTCTAATTTTTCAGTAATAGATCGGTTAAAGGGGAAGTGTACCCTTTCATGACCTGGGAACGAGTCTTGTTTGTTTTCGTCTGTGATTGACATTCTGACTTGGAAGAGTGACTTTTGACATGTGCTCTTGCTTGCGATTTTTTTAAATAGTATTCGGGGTTCAGGTTTGAAGAAATGAGATTCAGAGTAAAATATTAGATGGTATTCGGGGTTCAGGGCTGAGGAAATGAGATTCAGAGTGAAATATTAGATAGTATTCGGGGTTCAGGGCTGAGGAAATGAGATTCAGAGTGAAATATTAGATGGTATTCTGGGTTCAGGGCTGAGGAAATGAGATTCAGAGTGAATTATTAGATGGTATTCGGGGTTCAGGGCTGAGGAAATGAGATTCAGAGTGAAATATTAGATGGTATTCGGGGTTCAGGGCTGAGGAAATGAGATTCAGAGTGAAATATTAGATGTATTCGGGGTTCAGGGCTGAGGAAATGAGATTCAGAGTGAAATATTAGATGGTATTCGGGGTTCAGGGCTGGAGAAATGAGATTCAGAGTGAGATATCAGATGGTATTCGGGCTTCAGGGCTGGAGAAATGAGATTCAGATTGAAATATTAGATGTATTCGGTGTTCAGGGCTGAGGAAATGAGATTCAGAGTGAGATATCAGATGGTATTCGGGCTTCAGGGCTGGAGAAATGAGATTCAGATTGAAATATTAGATGTATTCGGGGTTCAGGGCTGAGGAAATGAGATTCAGAGTGAAATATTAGATGTATTCGGTGTTCAGGGCTGAGGAAATGAGATTCAGAGTGAAATATTAGATGGTATTCGGGGTTCAGGGCTGAGGAAATGAGATTCAGAGTGAGATATCAGATGGTATTCGGGCTTCAGGGCTGGAGAAATGAGATTCAGATTGAAATATTAGATGTATTCGGTGTTCAGGGCTGAGGAAATGAGATTCAGAGTGAGATATCAGATGGTATTCGGGCTTCAGGGCTGGAGAAATGAGATTCAGAGTGAAATATTAGATTGTATTCGGTGTTCAGGGCTGAGGAAATGAGATTCAGAGTGAAATATTAGATGTATTCTGGGTTCAGGGCTGAGGAAATGAGATTCAGAGTGAAATATTAGATGTATTCGGGGTTCAGGGCTGAGGAAATGAGATTCAGAGTGAAATATTAGATTGTATTCGGTGTTCAGGGCTGAGGAAATGAGATTCAGAGTGAAATATTAGATGTATTCTGGGTTCAGGGCTGAGGAAATGAGATTCAGAGTGAAATATTAGATGTATTCTGGGTTCAGGGCTGAGGAAATGAGATTCAGAGTGAAATATTAGATGGTATTCTGGGTTCAGGGCTGAGGAAATGAGATTCAGAGTGAAATATTAAATTGTATTCTGGGTTCAGGGGTGAGGAAATGAGATTCAGAGTAAAATATTAGATGTATTCTGGGTTCAGGGGTGAGGAAATGAGATTCAGAGTGAAATATTAGATGTATTCGGGGTTCAGGGCTGAGGAAATGAGATTCAGAGTGAGATATCAGATGGTATTCGGTGTTCAGATGAGGAAATGAGATTCAGAGTGAAATATTAGATGTATTCTGGGTTCAGCACTGGAGAAATGAGTTCATAGTGAAATATTAGATTGTATTCGGGATTCAGGGCTGAGGAAATGAGATTCAGAGTGAAATATTAGATGTATTCGGGGTTCAGCACTGGAGAAATGAGATTCAGAGTGAAATATTACATTGTATTCTGGGTTCAGGGCTGGAGAAATGAGATTCAGAGTGAAATATTAGATGTATTCGGGCTTCAGGGCTGGAGAAATGAGATTCAGAGTGAAAAATAAGATGTATTCTGGGTTCAGGGCTGGAGAAATGAGATTCAGAGTGAAATATTAGATGGTATTCGGGGTTCAGGGCTGAGGAAATGAGATTCAGAGTGAGATATCAGATGGTATTCGGGCTTCAGGGCTGGAGAAATGAGATTCAGATTGAAATATTAGATGTATTCGGTGTTCAGGGCTGAGGAAATGAGATTCAGAGTGAGATATCAGATGGTATTCGGGGTTCAGGGCTGAGGAAATGAGATTCAGAGTGAAATATTAGATGTATTCGGTGTTCAGGGGTGAGGAAATGAGATTCAGAGTGAAATATTAGATGTATTCGGGGTTCAGGGCTGGAGAAATGAGATTCAGAGTGAAATATTAGATGGTATTCGGGGTTCAGGGCTGAGGAAATGAGATTCAGAGTGAAATATTAGATGTATTCGGGGTTCAGGGCTGAGGAAATGAGATTCAGAGTGAAATATTAGATGTATTCGGGGTTCAGGGCTGAGGAAATGAGATTCAGAGTGAAATATTAGATGTATTCTGGGTTCAGGGCTGGAGAAATGAGATTCAGAGTGAAATATTAGATGTATTCGGGGTTCAGGGCTGAGGAAATGAGATTCAGATTGATAAATAAGATGTATTCTGGGTTCAGGGGTGAGGAAATGAGATTCAGAGTGAAAAATTAGATGTATTCTGGGTTCAGGGGTGAGGAAATGAGATTCAGAGTGAAATATTAAATTGTATTCGGGGTTCGGGGCTGGGGAAATGAGATTCAGATTGAAATATTAGATGTATTCGGGGTTCAGGGGAAGGAGAATTTCCATTGTCCCAAATGCCTTAGGAAAACCATTCAGATTGACACGGGTGGATATTCACCACGACATTTACTTTGAATCACGAACCCGGTATTAGTAAATAGTTCGTGATTGTCCGTGCATTCGTGTATGATTCATCGTAACACGTCAGACAGCTCATATGTGTCGCAACATTTAACAGGATCCCATGACGTCATGGCTGTTGACTGAAATACCACGTGAGTCAGTATCGTGACGGTAAAACGCGTTGTTTTGTTGATACGGATCCTGAGTAACTCGGGGGTCTGGAGCGCCGTAATTCCCTGTGAAGAGTTGCGCCCCTTATTCGTGCCCGGATGCACTGTACGTCGTTTGGGATATTGTGATTGGACAGTCGTCATCTTTCCATCATCCCTTCCTTCATCCCGCCCATCGTTTCGGTATCCCGCATCTGACGAGATATTTCTGTAATGCCAAGCGACGTCTTACCATACACACAAACGTATTCAGTATAGAAATTGTCATTATGTTTAGCGAGGTTTAGGGTATATGGAACACACGTTCTGAATCACTTGCATTTTGAAGTACATACATCTTTAGTAGGTCACACACACACACACACACACACACACACACACACACACACACACACACACACACACACACACACACACATAGTCAATCAGGCCCTTCGAACTTATTCCACATAATAATGATTATTTGTACATCGAACTAGGAAGTAGCTTACCACACCACTTCTTTGTTTCGTCCTCCCATCACTCAAACATACCCGGAATTCTTACCCCCAGGGAAGTGAGGTGACCGACCTGGCTAACCTAACCGTGGACAACAGGACAAGCAGCCATCCGACGACTATCGACTGGAACGACATAAACATGTCTGTCCTAAAACAGGCCCACCTACATTAATCTCTGATTAAATTATCAACACATATACTTCTCAATTATTGAAAGGAATAATCAGATATGTCATTCTGTTTGAATATCCCCTTGGCATATTATGAGTATCAAATATTTATGTGTCTCATAGTAAGATAAAATTATCCCTACCAAAAGTGGAATAGTAGGTGGATCGTTGCTCACAATATCGATCACTGGACTGTCTCATTGTATCGGTTATTCACAGGCCGCCCTTGCATACCTTTAAACAAAAAAACCTATAAATTCAGCCGAATGAGAGAACAATTTTGATGCCTCAGTCACTTAAATATTAACTTTATTCCAACTATGTCATGTACGACTTCAAATAATCTACTTTTGACCAAAGAAATCAATGATAGATAGCAGGAATGAAGTGCTTAGGGGTATTGTTTTCAAAATTTAGGTTTCTAGCTAGGGGTGAGGTGAAATGAGGTTTAACGTGGCGTCCACGATTATTGCACTCATATAGCGACGTGCATGCACGTGTATGTGTGGCTGCTTGTACTAGTCCGGACTGACGCCGATTTTAAAGTGCTAGCCCATTGAGATACCATGCCGCAGTTTAATATGAATACCCCACTCAGACACACTATACTAACTCCGAGCCGACCAGTCCTTGTTTTAGCCCCTCAATGCCGGGCGCCAGGAAGGGGAACAACACGTACCATCTTTTGGTATAACGCGGGGATCGAACCCGGGCCTTCCGCTCTCTTGGCAGACGCTCTACCACTATACCCCGGAGAAGGTCGCTTCCATTCAGATGATTTCAAGAGAGGATATTATAGTGTGTGTTTCATATAAATGTATCTCTTGCATTGGGTGTAACCTCGTAACGTAGACTGGGATCTTTGCCCTGCCAGATCAGAGAGCCTGTAAGTCATAAAGCTGATGGATATACATACATAAATGTATAGGCATAATGTTTCATAGTATCAGTGTTTTATCCATTAAGTAATATTATGTTTGTTTGTTGTTTAACGCCGCAGTCAGTAATATTCCAGCTATAGAGAGAGAGAGTTTATTGCTGTAAAGGGGTCACCGGCCCATTATACAATACATATTTCATTGATTTGTTTTAATTGAGCGCCATACAATATTATACATTGCACAATCTAAGTGACAATGAATTAATATTGAGTTGTTTACATCTTTTTTTCATTTACAGGAAAATATATTTCGCTAAGACATTTACAGTGTAAGCATTTTGTGATGACAGTAGTTGTTGGAATTTTAAAAAAAAAGTTGGGTTTTGTACATAGTATTTCGGTCATAGACTTCTTATATCATTATAGAATGGACATATCATACAAAAATGGTATTCAGTTTCGACACAAGGTACGATACAGAATGGACAAAATCTTTCATTCGCACTTATACCAAGTGTACGTCCGTATTCAATCATAAGTTTATGGTTTGAACATCTAAATTTAATCAAAGCTATATGACGGCGGTCTGTAAATAATCGAGTCTGGTCCAAACTATCCAGTGATTGACATCAGGAGCATCGATCCACGCAATTGGGATACGATGACATGCAACAGCGACTACCCGACCCCGTTAGTCGCCTCTTACAACAAGCATAGTCGCCATTCACGGCAAGCATGGGTTGCTGAAGACCTATCCTACCTTATATCTTAATGGGAATAATATTGTGTATCTGTATACGGTGAGAAGACGGCAATAAGTGGTCCCTTTCGTCTTTTGGGACAATAAAATATGTTTTAAGAAACAACTTTCTAATAAATTCTGAATTTCGTCCTCAACAACATCATTGTCGAATGTAATGAGATCGAGGTGCACAACACAATATCATACAACATTTTTCTTTTTTTTAAATTGTTAATGGTTTCTAGGTCCGTTTCTCCCACTTTTTTCTCACACACACATCCGAGTTACCGCATTGTGTGGAGGAACGGAGTCATGTGACCTTATGTACCCCCAAACATACTTCTCACAATGTCGTGAGAACGTTTCAATGAAGTCACGACCAAGAATAGACATTTACGCATGAAATCCGATTTATGTCAAAGGTCGTCATTGTGGCAACCGTCACGCCCCGCTGGTGCATGAAATTGACACACCCGTGCTGACTGTTTCTGATGTAGATACATCAACAAAGCCACAACACATATATATTGTTGGTATGCATAATTCATGTCGATATACAAAACAGATTATTATTCAGTCATAATAGAGAAAAGTGATTGATTGCCATGAATGCGCCATAACCGCGATATATTGAATACCGGGTGTTACAAAGCGACGGGCCTCCATTGTGACCCCGGGGAACAATACGTGCTTCTCACACAAGCAGGGGTGCAAACCCACAGCTGAGCCTTCTTGAATGTCTCTGGGAAAATTGGCGTAAAAAATTAGTAATTTTCCAAAATAACTTTATCACCAGAATATATACTGCCTGGCAAAAAAGGTATGGTATACACCCACGTTTGATGGTGGGAAACAATGAAACGCAAGACATGGTTATTCGATGGTGATGTATTTGATACGGGTATCATAGTTGTGTTTTGGACCTTAGATTTTCAGTGTTTCGGTAAATGTTTTCAGTCTCGTAACGCTTTGATAATTATGTTTATAATTTGTTGGTCAAATCCAATTTCAAGTGTAAATATTGTTTGCTTGGTAGTTTATATGGTGATGCCACTTTTAGCAACATTCCAGCAATATCACGGCGGGGGACACCAGAAATGGGCTTCACACATTGTACCCATGTCGGGAATCAAACGCGTGATGAGTGAATGATTTAACCACTTGACTACCCCACCGCCCAAGTTATATGGTTAGGAAAATCGATAATGTCGTGTATTAGTTTTTATCGCCGAAACTGTATACCTTCCCATCATAAGCTGACTATTAATTAATTACCAATTGTGTGACAGTGACTGTGGAGGGATCTGTCTATTTTAAGGACAAACTTGTATGTCGGCATGCCCCGACGGCGTTGATCTTCATATTACCCTTTCGTTGGTTTGTTGGTTGGTTGTTTCACGCTGCACTCAGCAATATTCCAGCTATATGACGGCGGTCTGTAAATAATCGAGTCTGGACCAGACAATCCAGTGATTAATATCATGAGCATCGATCCACGCAAGTGGGATCGATGACATGCATCAACCAAGTCAGCGACCACCCGATCCCGTTAGTCGCCTTTTACGACAAACATAGTCACCTTTTACGGCAAGCATAGGTTGCTGAAGACCTATTCTACCCCAGAATCTTCACGAGTCCTTACCCTTTCATGTAAGTGTGTAAATGGAACAGCTCCATCTTATCTCAACCGCCTTGTCCATGTGTACCAGCCATCTTGGAACTTCCAATAATTCACACATGGAAACTTAAATCTTTCGGTGCCCAATCCTTTAATGTAACTGCTGCAAAGAAATGGAATGATCCTCCAATTGCCCTCAGAACAGACCCATCACTTGATATTTTCAAGTCAAGACTTAAAACGTGTTTGAAAACTCAGCCATTTGATGTTAGTGCACACATATATGTGTGCTGTCAGCGCTTTGAGTCTGCTCTGTTGCTTGGTACGAGTAGTTGTAAGAACTTTTATTATTATTTTATCATTATTTCATAGTATTGTTTTCATGACTATGGTGATGGATGCGGCATAAAACAACACCACCATGCACACAGCCACGTTACACATTGTGAACATCAGATCCTCATTCGTCGACTTCTAGTACAAATCATGACGTGGGTTCGAATCCCAGGTTCACCTTGTTATGATTCTTGGTTCGTCAGTACCATGACTTTGATCGTGGGTTTCGCCCAAATGGAACACGTCTAAGACCTGCATCACTCCCACATCAAACAGACACATCTTGATATAACTGGAATACTGTTCAAATCGACATCAAAACATAATCAAGCACCTAATATACGTCCAGAAAGTAACGGTGGAAGAAGGGTTATTTTAAATGTCCTGCATGCATAACTGTATATAATTAAACGATTTTCAAAAATAATCTATCGCCATAATCTATATTTAATGTCTTGCAATATATTTTATCACCGCAACTCACCGAAACGTTCCTATGACAATGTGATTTTGAAAGTTTATAGTGACAACTTCCCTTTATGTAGCACGTAAATGCAAAACACAAATATCTTGACAAAGACGAAACTAAGTTATTAATTACAAAATACTAAGATATTGACGAAATCTTTTAGACAATGATAATCAATCAAGTTAGATAAGGGAAATACCATTTCAAACAAATATTTCTTCCAGAAAATGAAAAACGAATAATTTAGATTCAAGTTTTACAAACACATTGTTATCTGTACACGCAGGATATCTTGGGAAATATCTCGAGGAACAATCCAAAGAAATTTAAATACAAGATGGAGCAGTCGGTTAAAATTAAACTGAGCTTAAAAACCAATATCTGCGAGAAGAAATAATTATGTATGGCCTAATTTATCCTTCAGTGAGTTGAACAGTTATGTAAATATATTAAATATACACAATGATAGTGCGCCTGGTGACGGCTGAAGTGCACGGTATTCAACTCAACACCACAGCTGAAATATGAGATCTTCTTTATAAAGTGAATAAAACTCGCTCACCATGGTCACGATTTGTCCAGTGTCAATAGTGTTGATTTCAGAACAAGACACCCCGTACTATCGGAGACGACACAGTACTGTGTCAATAATACTTAGCCTCGTTTTGACCCCTGTGAAGTCACGTGAGTCACCCGCACCCTTTCATCTGTTATTGTCACGCGTCACGAAGTTGTCAATTCCGTTGTGCTTTTTTTGTTGATCTCATCACGATTTTATATCGGGTAGGTCATGGTGACTGGAATATGTGTTGGGTCTGAAAGTTGAGGTATTGCCCAACACTCTCACGATACTGATTGTGCGACTATTTAAATCTGTTTTTTAAGGGTCATTTTTTTAAGGGTCTTTTAAGAGAGGGGCTGTTAATCGTATTCTATCTTGGATCGAACGCTGCTCATGCTTTTTGTCATGATCACCAGGTTCAGATTCGAATAGGTATAGACCGCAGTGATACAGCTCGTATATACGGAAAACATTCTCGTCAAAACTTATTGAGGTAATTCTTCAAAACTTTATTTTATTGCTTATTTTATTGCATACTATGAAACCTCGTTAATCTGGACAGTACCGCTTCCAGTTAAATTGTCCGGATAAACGAATTTCCCGATTATCGAATAATTGGTTATTACTTATGCTTTTTTACCATACATAAACCTCCCCAAACAATGACTGTTCGGAAGACAAGGTTTCCGGTTTAATGAGGTTTATGATCATGTGGTTACAAGGTTACAGATAGTTACACCTGTAAATGGATTTCCTATGTTGAAAAGGCTTTAAGTGAAATAGGTTTAAGATATGTCTGGTGTTGGATGGGGTGGTCTACCACTCCGGAGTAGTGCCGGTTACATAGTGCTAGCCCACTGAAATACCATGTCGCAGTTTAACATGAATACCCAGTTTAACACTCAGACACAGTATACTGACTCCGAGCCGAGTCATTGTTTTAGCCCCTTAATGCCGAGCGTCAGGCCGAGACCAGCTTTAACATGTTTTGTTTTGACGCGACCGGGGATCGAACCGACCGTCCACTCTCTCGGTCGACGCTCTAACCACTAGACCACTTAAGCGGTCTTTGCAAAGGCAGATATATCACATTATCATGACCTTGCTGGTTAAAGAGGAACAGTTTCGAGATCAACAGGGCCGGGCCTCGCTGATATTCCAACAACGTACTTTCGTCATCTGTAACACACGTAGTTACGAGAGTCGCAGCGCTAGGGAGATTTTGTACAGTCCAACCACGACTGTAGATACTAGGCCCCGTTCCATAAAGCGATCGTAGCACTATATCTGTCTTAAGTTTATGTTAAAACTATGGGAGTTACGGTCGTCTTAGCGCTACGAGCTTTGTTGAACGAACATGGCCCTCAGAAACAGCCTGCAGCGCATTCAGAGGCAATTCTTCATCAGGCCAAGTCGGACAAGTTTTAGCAGTCTCAACTCGGTTATTACTTGATGGACGCCTGTCTCTGTTGAATCCTTCTGTTAACGTTGCGGGCTGAAAGGAGTCCGCATAACGCCACACTCGAGCGACTTATATACATAATCAAAGGGACATTCCAACCCATGATTCGTTCATCCCGAAATCTGTTAATCCCGACGATTTCACTGGGATTAATGCGCCCGGATTAAAAGGTATCCATGTACACTGCCGGACGAGAAAAGTATACACCCATGTTTGATGATGGCTAAGTATTAACCAAACAAGAAGTGGTCATTCGATGGTGATATATTTGATACGGGTGTCATAGTTGTGTTTTGGACCTTACGTTTGCAGTGTTAGGACTAGACAAACACTATTATTATTATTATTATTATTATTAACAACAACAACTTCTACTACGTCTGCAACTACCATTTCAATTATTTCAACCACAACAATCAATCCTGATGCTATACTACCTTTTTTCCCGGCAATACTACTAATATACCACCTGTTTGCAAATAACAGACCATATATTTACCAATTAAAAAAACTCACCTATCTACCAATAATAAACACACCTATCTACCTATACAAATTCCAATACCGGTGATAAAATATAAGCCATAACCAGTATAATACCTGTATAAATCATCTCATCATCTAATTAACAGTCACAATACCTGTGATTTTCAGTCGAACCCCGTTATCTCGAACTTATCGGGACCGTGTTGTAACTTCGCGATATCCGGACATTCGAGATAACGAGGCATGACCATCCAAGCAGATCAAGTAACAGTTTTATAGATACGTACAATACGATTGCATACACAAGGAACTAAGAGCCCAGAATGTTTATGCGATGGCAAATTAAAAATGTATTTCGTCGGCAATAATCAGTAACAATTGTGACATTGACATGTACATTATCAGGCAAGCAGCAATCACTTTTGAGCACGTCCATTTGATAAAAACAGCAAAGTGCCACTCTCGCTTCAAGCTTGGAAATTCATAGCTTGGATTTTGCGCCACGGGGCTTTGATTGCTTAAATTCGACATTGGTTAGACTTTGAGTGTCGTCATGTTTTTACTCATGTCTACTTACGATGTTTTATTGGTGAATACTGATTAACATGATAATTGGATATAAAGATACATACTAGTAATTGAGAATGGTTTACATTGGACTGGACTTTCACAGCCATGTCAGACGTGTGGGAAAATGTCAACTTCAAGATAAAAGTATAAAGATAAAACAAATTGTGTTTTGATATCACCACTGTTTTATTCATGTCGTGAATAGTTAAAAAAGCATACATTTCACGATAACAACATGAAGTGATAAAATCAGACATGGGAGTAAAAAATAGCGTTTTGCTGTTAAGCATTAATACGTTCATAGAATTATATGAATTATAGACTTCATACTTAGTTTACACCCCTCCTCCCTCTCTCTCGCTCTCTTTCTATATATATATGTGTGTGTGTGCGTGCGTGTGTACGTGCTTGCGTGCGTGCGTGCGTGCGTGCGTGCGTGTGTGTGCTATTTTCCTAGAGGACTTTCCCGTGACCCAACAAGAGAAGGTCACAATTTGCATGTCCTTGGGACCACTTTTTGAGTATGGGCGTGTGAATTGTTCATTTTAGTTGCTCGTCACGATATGGCTGAAATATTACCGATAAGACGGAGGTCAGGACGAGAAGGTCACAATTTGCATTTCTTTAGGCTGTCGTGTGTGAGAAAACTTTTGAGCATGAGCGTGTGAATTGTTCATATTAGTTGACATCATTTCAGTAAATAGCAGAACTATGTTATATAACCATTAACTGAACTATGTGCCGAACACTGGGTCGCATGTTCACCGACACCAGACAAAGCGTTCCTTTGTGGGGGTATATACACCCTGTGGGATGAATAGGTCGCCGTGTGTAGACAGTGTAGACAGTGTCGGTTGTCTGTGCCATCAGAGGGGGAGGAGGGGAGAGGCCCGCTCACGAAGTAAATAATTGAAAATACGTGTATGTGCCATTTCCAACCTTATAACTAGACCCTTCTTGATCTTTGAGGACATTAATATTTCCCCGAGTAATCTGCACAACCCGTCTGTCACGACTGATTTCGTACGAGCATTAACTGCATTTGTGACCATATTACTTACTATACACTGTCGCGACAGGCATGCGGGGAACAGCCTAGTGGTTAAGCGTATGGCCTGGTTCGATTCCCGACATGGGTACAATGCGTAAAACCCATTTCTGGTGCCCCCGCCGTGATATTGCTGGGATATTGCATGTGGTTTTCATTAATCGTTCAGGCGAGTGACTGTGTTTACTGTTGTTAGCTTTATTTCGTTTGTTTGTTTGTTGTTTAACGCCGCACTCAGCAATATCCCAGCTATGACGGAGGTCTGTAAGTAATCGAGTGATTGATATCATGAGCATTGATCTACGCAGTTGGCATACGATGACATGTATCAACCAAGTCAGCGCCTCTTACGACAATCATAAGCCTTTTACGAAGCTTGGGTTGCTGAAGATCTATTCTACCCCCGGATCTTCACTAACTGTTAGCAATACTGTTAAACGATCACGGCGGGGGACACAGTGGCCAAAGGCACCGCAAAACTCACTGTGTAGAGTTTCGTCCCCTTACCCATGCCAGGATCCACTGATTATGGGTACGAACATTAGGTTCGACTCACCTATGATTGCTGATCTGGTCTGGGTTTCATCATAAAATAGTTAAACATAGTTTGTCTCATGTCTTAACCCCAGGCGTAAATTCCCAGCATTCCTAGTTTATTCAGGAGTTAACGTCATAATTCACAACAGCAATTTCCCTTCCAGATATTCAGCATCAGGATGGCGACGGCCCACAGGATCCGGGACAAGCACCTGACGTGCAGCATATGTTTCGAGCTGTACACGCGCCCCAAGACACTGCCGTGCATGCACTCGTTCTGTGAGCACTGCTTAGAGAACCACATCCAGGCTAAACGGGATGACAAAGGCTTCGGTTGTCCCATGTGCAACACCCATACACTGATGCCGGATGCTGCTGCCCCGCCGGACAAATGGTCGTCCCAGTTCAGGACGGACTTCAAGCTGACCGGCATGCTGGAGGAGATATTTCAAATTGAGCAAGGTGTGTAGTAATATGGCCGTCTTCATGCATAACCCTTTCCGTGGACCTATGACCGTGGGTTCAACTCCCAGATACGCCCTGATTTTGTTCTTGGTTTGTCAACGATACACCCATGCTTTATTCTCATGGGTTCGAATCCCAGATACGCCCTGATTATGTTTCTGGTTTGTCAACGATTCACCCATGCTTTATTCTCTTGGGTTCAACTCCCAGATACGCCCTGATTATGTTTCTGGTTTGTCAGCGATACACCAATGCTTTATTCTCATGGGTTCGAATCCCAGATACGCCCTGATTATGTTTCTGGTTTGTCAACGATTCACCCATGCTTTATTCTCATGGGTTCGAATCTCAGCTTCGCCCTGATTATGTTTCTGGTTTGTCAACGATTCACCCATGCTTTATTCTCATAGGTTCAACTCCCAGATACGCCCTGATTATGTTTCTGGTTTGTCAACGATTCACCCATGCTTTATTCTCATGGGTTCGAATCCCAGACGCGCCCTGATTATGTTTCTGGTTTGTCAACGATACACCCATGCTTTATTCTCATGTGTTCGAACCCCGGTTCGCCCAGGTTATGTTAGGTTTGTCAGCACCATAAACGTCCTCAATGATTTCACTAAAGTGGTAAACGTCTAAGCCCTACATCACATCTGGCCGACAACGTCATGTAACCGTCAAATACGGTCCAAACCGTCGTTAATCCTCACTCACTCATACCATTGATTGTCGTTCATGCTTTCAGTCACTGGTTTTACTTGTCAAGACTTGGTTATTTACAGGCCGCCGTGATACAGCTTAAATATGCTGTCAAACAGCATCCACTCACTCTGGCAATCGAAGCAATAATATTTCTGGAAGGGTCAGTGTTCTAAAACACCTGCTCCGGATTGCTGAAAACAAAACAAATTTGCTTTAATTGTAATTGTGATTTAAATATTAAATTAGACGGATTAAAGAGACAGATAGGGGTCTTAATGTATTCTTTCAACAGAAACAATTCACGCACTTTTGTATTAGGTAAACGCATTACCGGGGGACAATACATATTCAATACCCAAACAATCGAATGGTGACGTATATTCTTATTTATATGTTCTTTCAACAGCGGTAATACATGCACTTTCTAATTAGGTAAACACTTTACCGAAAGAAAATACAAATGCCTTACGTCATCATTCAATTGTGTTGGTACTGAATATTATTCAAAAGCTTTAATGGTTGATTTCGTATTATCAAACTGAAAAGTTTGAATGAAAACATAAAATATTTGAAAGAATAACCGTGAAGTACTCTGCTTTCAATGAAGACTAGGGTACCAAAACAAACATTGAGTAAAACAATGTCGTTCATACCAAAAAACAAAACTGTAAAGGAAACATCGATTGTTCACTACGACTATACCAATGCCTTCAAGACAGAGACTGACATACCAGATGCTCTAAACATGCCCAGGGTTCTAGCTTCGCGTATCAAATACACCATGCGTATATTAAGCCCTATGTGTACTCAAGCTCGTTATAGCTGCATTTCGTATGATAATATGATTGTCGGAATCAGAACACTCAAAACCTATTTTCAGGATTGAACGTGTACTGGTGCTTTTATCTGCTGAATTTGGATTAGGAGAAATGTCTTGTTATTTTAATTCACCATGATAGATATGCAGCAGTGTGAGAAGGGAGATAATTTGTGTCGAGACTTTCTCTTTGACCTAAGTCCGTCTCACAGTCCCCGAAACATGTTATTTTCCCTTCCGCGCATCCCTAGTGTAATGCTATAGCCCTAAATGAAGCAAGTGAAGATTTTCCATACGTGCAGACTCAGAAACTCCAATCTCACATCAGCTCTTTAGAAAAATAATCTTAGGGATTCCAACTCACGATCACATGTTCCTTGCACATCTAAGGGACGTAAGTCTGAACGGCGAATTGGGGCGCGTTGGACGACTGGAATATCCATGGCTGGACACGAATGCCATAGAGTCTGGTGACGACAGAATAATGCATGTCACCGTATGAACAGGTATTGTGACTTGATCATCCAATAGAAGCTGATTTAACAAGTCTTTATATTTTTCATTAATGCGCATCACAGTTTTCATGTAGACATATGCCAATATATTTGTGACTAATACTAACTGGTTCGTGTGTGATGGGTTACAGAGAGGAGCGTGGTGAAGGACGTCAAAAAACTGAACAAGTTGGTGGAGGACCTGCGATCTAGCGAGAACACCCTTCAGGACAAGATCGAGTTGGACAAGCTGGCTCTGTCCAGAATCAGCGTGGACCAGGACGAAATCTCGCATCAAATCGCGGACGTCTTCTCTACCATCAGGCTGAAGATTCAGAGAAAGGAAGAGGCACTGAAACAACGCCTGAATCAGCTCTGTGTTCAACGAAAGGACACTGTGTCGCGCAGTTGGCTCAGCAAGCAGAAGCTTATTGATCAGATCAACTCCCAGATAGAGGTGGGCGAGAGATTGACCTCTATAGCTGTCAAGGACACTTCTGAGGGCGAGGTGGAGAAATTCCATGAAGCGCAAGCCCAGTTTAAGAAAGCAGTGAATAGTGCCACCAGTGTCAATCTTGCTACGATAGAACTCACTCTGAAGCAGGAGAGTATCATCAAATTCGATTCACTGGTGTTTTGTGATATTGAAACTGGCGTGTCTTCTTCCAATGCGGACAAAGAGAATATTGATGTTGCTCCCGAAACACCAAAGCCCAGTGAGGTTAAAGGGGCCAAAGTGGTCAAAGAGATCAAGTCGGTTAAAACGGTGAAAGCACCCCAGCCACCGCAAAAGCCTGTCCAGACTATCTTACCCCAAACATCCACATCGGGGGGAGTAGAGCGTCCTCAACTGGTCGCCATTTTGACCCCCACGAAGGACGACTGTGACAAAGAACCTGAATACCAAGACGTCGTTGTTCTTCGTGAATCTAAGGTTCAAATCGTTGTAGTTAGTGACTACAACAACAAACGAGTTGTAGTTCTTTACGTTCAGCAGGGAGGTAAGACCCAAAAGTCAATCAAATTAGACGGAAACCCGACACGACTGTGCAAACTTGACTCAACAAAAGTCGGAGTCAGCTGTAGCGACCCGTACCAGGTGATGGTACTGACTGTATTCCCAGAACTGAAGCAGGTCGCGACAATCAAGACAACCATCAACAATCTCGGGATCGCCGCCCTCAACCCAAATACTCTGGCAATATCCAACAAAAACAAGATCAGTGTCGTTACAACCACGGGGTCCATCTTGAAGGAGTTTAAGACCAAGGTTGACAGCTCCTTCTACTCCATGAGCTGGTACATGGCGACGACGCCGACGGGGAGTATCATCGTTTCAGACCGTTACGGGGAGGTGATCTCGTGCGTCACCCCCACAGGGCAGACGTTGTGGCAGTGGAAGACGCCGGCAGGGACCCCGCCGTCGGGGGTGGCGTGTGACAAACAGGGCCGGATCTACGTGGTTCTATCGGGAATCAAGGAGGTTCACAGACTGAGTCAAACAGGGCAATTTTTGGGTGTTGTTCTCAACAGTGACGATGACTTGGTGCTTCCGTCTGCTATGGACATTGACCAGTTTGGCCAGTGGTACATGTTAAAGAAGTCCCGCCAGATCCAAATCTTTAAACCACTTGTAAACTGATGTGTTTGGCGTATTGTTGTGGAAGGACATACGAATGGGTTCAAGCTAGGCGTATATGGTGCAACGTTTTTCCAAAGCCACCATAGCTCCACTACCACTATCAGCTTACGCTAGAATACAGCTGTACCTCAGTGTTCGTTTTGTTTAAGTGGGCCCAGGTGTCAAGTCCCCAATTTCACAAAGCGAAATTTCTCAGAGCCAAGATGTATCTAACCACCCATTGTAACACGGACGATAGTCGTAGTGGAAAGATCGCTCTGTGGAATCACGTTTTGTTAATTAGCTTCCAGAAACGTGGTGTTTGACTGAGTTTCAGCAGTGTGTATTGTGTTTGTTGCATGTAAGTTCCGGCAACATCAACTCGAACAATGTTGACGTCTCAACAACGACCGATCAAATTACATGGGGGAACAGACACGAGGCAAGGATGTGATAGCGTGTAGATAACCAGAGATAGGTGATCAATGTAGTGATCACGTCACATGCTAGCATTGTACAAAGTGACGTGGTTTGTTCATGTGACACAGTACGTCAACTGCCGGGCAGTAGAAAGTATACACTTGAAAACTGGATTTGACCAAAACGTTTCAAACGTTGTCAATACGTTACCAGGCTGAAAACAGTCGCTGAAAAACCACAAAGGTCCAAACGACATATATGATACTAGTATGAAATACAAAACGATCGAATAACCATGTCTTGTTTGTTTAATTTTACCCACCATCGAAAAATATACGCAACTCTTGATGAGTATCTCAGACATGTTATCGTTGATTATAAAAACGAAATGCATTTTCCCGCACAAATTTACAACATTTAAACACATGGAAGATGTCATGTGGTTGCAGATGTATTTCTTACCCCCGTCTTCATTGAACCAATATATTTTTACACAAACATTACCCTGACACGGATTACTTTTTACAAACTTGTTAAGGTATGGGCGATGGTTAAACACATATTACCAATCTAACAGCAGTTGTTTCAATTTCAACATAAAATACAAACACGGTATACGTTCTATTGCCCCTCAGTTTCTGAGTTATTTTCTCCATCGGTATACGTGCGGTGAAGAAGAAATGCGGATCCTGCTGACAATAGCTGGATAAACGTGTTCTGAAGCTTAAGGCTGCGTAGAATCTTGGTTGGTTAAGAGTACCCACTGAAGTGCAGCATGTGTGGCAATTATTTGTAACAGGCAATTTATATTCAGAGAACTATACTACTCAAAAAAAGTAACAGAACACCCGATATTTTCCCTATGATTATCGGTGAGGTGAGGTGAAATTGGGTTTAACGTCGCGTGCATGCGGATAATTAGTAAACCTACCTGCTTTGGATCCCGGCAGAGATATTCTGCAATCAGTTTGCTTCTGGAAACGATCGTGTAAGGGTTGGTGGGGTAGTCCAGTGATTAAAGCGTTCGCTCTTCACGTCGAAGACCCGGGGTTCGACTCCCTACAGGCGTACGGTGCGTGATATTGCTTGAATATTGCTAATACTTGCGTAAATCCTCACTCGTTCCTTAGATCGTTTGATCAGAATGAGGGAATTGAATTGTGATTAACGTTGCGTTGAACAGTCTTACAGTTATATCACTGCGTGTTTGCTTAAACTAGGAAGAAAGCCCGAAATGATGCAGGTCTTAGACATTTACCACTTTCGTGCTGAGAAACCACGGGTCACTATCATCTAATTTGTAGGCGGAGTTTATTTCACCTCACAGTCGGCAATCTATCATGAAATTCACTTCTGCCTGTAAATTACCGTGTCTCGGACAGGCAAACCGGTGGTTGATAGCATGAGCAGAGATATATGGAGTTACATAATCAGCATTGACGACAAACGCGGCGAGTTGAGGTGAAATGGGGCTAAACGCTCAAGAGTATTGCATTAAATAACGACATGTACCTGCACGTGCGTGTGTGGCTGCTTGTACCAGTCTGGTACTTACGTCGGCTATAAAATATAGCCTCAGACCGCTGAGATACCATCTCGCAGTTTAACATGGATTCCCCGGTCTTATCCCCGTTTACCGGGCAGGGTAACAAGTACCCTCATTTAGCGTATTTTTTAACAACGCGATAAGGGGGTCGAACCACGCAGCTTCGCGACACCCATGCACGCATTGGGAGTAGTGAGTGAGAATATGTTCAGGGCTTTGACACCACCTCAAACATCCCCTAAAGGCTGCCTTGGTACAATGGGTCTTGGCCGGGTCGCTCTAACGCTTAAATCAATGTTATAAATTATTTTTGAATGTATATATGTAAGTAGATATAACACAAATTTTAAACACGTGATTTGTATTTCATTTTATACAATGTGAATTTAATGTCAAACAGCATGAATAAACACATATATTTTTTCACGACCATTTTGCTTTTTCCGTCCAGTGGAATCTGTGTCGACGGATACCCGAGACTTGTTATTCTCTAACTGTTTGATCTGCATTCTAGAAGTTGGTCGGTAAATGAGAAAACACATGGACAACAACTATGGTATTTTTAATCCTTTTATATCAGACTTCATTACCTGTGCGCCATTCGTTATTCCTGTTATACATCTGGCGTCATCCAACTCTCTGTGTGCTATTTGTTATCCATTAAATGTAATGCATATAGCCTCCCAAAGCTTGGTTGTAGTCACGACAGCTTGAATCTACATCGAACCCTCGCTAAATGCAATAAACCAGAAGTTGTTATCCATTATTATTAGTATTATCATCATTATTATTATTATTATCATTATCATTATAATTATTGTTATTATTCCGCTGGTATCCAGCTACTACTGTATTACAGTACGCATATAAGGAAATGACAGATATTACGAACTTATTTTTTGGTCCCGGCCATTTGCTGTATAGATGTTGACTGTTTATATGCTTATAACGAACTACGGTTATAACGAACTAAAATAACGAACTACTGTATCTGTTCAAATGCGGTTTTATATGTTCCCCAACCAGTTGATCCGTTTGCATTCCAGTTATCATTCTCAACTCCCTCGGGAGTATACAACCAAAGCTACGGGCGCTATAGGGTTTTTTACCTCAAATTCTCACATATCTCATTCCCTGCAGGGTGAACAGGGGCACATTTGAACTAAGTCACTTGCCCAGGGTGACAACTCACGTTTTAACGCTAGTGTTTCGGGTGTATGTACGTATTCGTGTTTCAACCATCTGGTCATCAACCGTTGGACGAGTGGGTTCTATGAGTGCACAGTGTGTATGTACTGTACACTAGGTGTACTGACAACACTGTAAGGACCTGTAAACATTGTTGGATCCAGGGCTGAATTACAACCCGGTCACATCACCTGGCGGTCGCTAGTCTGGCGCATTTGACCACTTGCCCACTCCGCCCCATAAATTTGTATGTTTCTTATTAGTTATTCCGACGTTGACGTTATATACTGGACTGGTTTGCGTATTATAGCCCATTTAGTGGAAACAAACATGTTCTTTCGGTTTCCGGCGTAAGACAATGCCAAGAGTAGGTCAGTGAGTTGCGGTTTAATATGATCTCTTTAATTGAGAGAGTTAAAATTCTAGGTCAGATCTGCAGTATGTCAGCCACATTGTGACGAGGGCATTTACAATTTTTGTATCATATTAAATCCTGCCAAAAAAAACGGTAAAACCAAAAGTAACAAATCACATGCATTTAATTTCATATGAAACAGGTTTGCGAGTATTAGTGTGTGACTGAGCGAGTTGAGTGTACCTCCGCGTTTAACAGTACAGTAAACTACGTTTATATAACGAACACGCTTATAATGAACTGGCGGATATAACGAACTGTTTTTTGGGTCCCAGCTAATTGCTGTATATATGTTGTATATATGTTTATAACGAACTACTGTTACAACAAACTAAAATAAGGGGCCCCTTTGAGTTTGTTATAACCGTAGTATTCCAGATATATGGCGGCGTGTCAGCTTCATGTGGGAGGAAAGCCCGAAGTGATGCAGGACTGAGACGTTTACCACTTTGGCAAAACCCACGGGAATGGTGCTGACAAACCTGGATATACCTCGCGGTCATGTGTTTTTTGTATATACAAAAAAAGAACACTTTGGACTTTGTGAATTTCATGAGTTGGTTTCATTACCTGTTAATAAAAAAAACATGCCAGACAGACTACCAGACATGACCTATTCTTATGGTATGTGTGAACAGTACAGAAAATGAACCCTACTTAAATGCGGACAAAAGAGGACATACACTCACTGACTATGTTGAGTCCCATAGTCCGACCCGTGGGGAGCCAGGGTTAGAATAAGTCCCCAGGAACTAATGCTGGTTTTAAGAGGCGACCAAAAGGATCAGGGTGCCTGTTCGTTGACGAGGTTGATTGTGTGTCAACGTACCCCGACCGCGTCGTTTACAATGTCGATCACTGGATTGTGTGATTCAGATGCTATTGTTTATAGGCCGCCGTCATATAGCTAGAATATTGCTGTCCGGCGTTATGCAACAAACAAACAAATGGTCTATTTAGGAGTTATAGCCGCGAAAATAAACATCAGGCACTATTTCATTATGGTGGTTGCGACGAATATTGGCTCAAATATCCAATAATGATAAGTTAAATGGTTTAACATCCCGGTCATATATAGATTGTCGGATTAACGAGACTTGACTGTATAAATATATGCTTTATCCGAAACAAATGATGGGAACCGATTTAATCAGTGCTATTTAGACCCGTTAATCCGACAGTCTCGCACTCCGACACACCTAATTTGCAACGAATTGCTGAAATCACTCATTAATCAGTCTCGTTAATCAGCGATCAGCGTACTCCATGTCCATCTGCCCGCGAGTACACAGCCCCGTTTTTTGGTGCGAGACGAGTCGGCGAGTAGCTGCATATTTCAAAGGCTGAGATAAACTTTCTTAACAATAAACAATTACTGCTTTAAATAAACAAAACAGGATTAATCACATGCCTAGATTACCTCAATCTCATTAAAATCGGATATAAGTTCTCGCTACCGATAAGAAAACGTAACTGAACAATATGAATATTTCATTTTTCATTTTCCTACGTGTTCGTATCGTTATCTATCGTGTTGTTGTCCAATTTTCGATCACGAACGTTTATACTACCTTATTTCGTTTTCAACCAACAATGTCGGATTAACGGGACTTGACTGTATATATATATATTGGAGATGTAATTGATATGCTTTTTCTAGGCCGAGTTCCGTATCAAGAATACCAATGTCTTTGACCATGTTCGTATGTGAGATTTGTGTAGTACCAACTCTGATGGATTCATCTTCGGTTTTTGTGTTTCTGCGCGTTGAACCAATGGTTTTGTCGCCATTTAACTCCAACATGTTGGAAGTCATCCATGCTTTGATGTGGTCCCAGCAACCTTCTGTATGTCGCGACTGAGGGACACGGCGCTGACCATGTTAGTGAGCTCGGAGTCGTGAGCATTAAGATGGCGTTGAAGATAATAATACCACGTGGTTTGGTGTAAAGAGTAAATAGCACTGGTCCATATACTGTCCGTTGGACACATAGGATTACAACCACTTAGAGGCGACCCAGCGATTTCCATCTCCAATCGACCCAGCAGCTTGTTGTGTTCAATCGTATTAAAAGCACAACTAAGGTCAAGACGGATTAGAAAGGGCAACTGTTTTTTACTGATTGTGTAAATTATTTAGACGTTATAAAGTTACACCGCTTGGTCCCAGTCTTTTAGATAGACTATGCCACTAAAACATCTTCATCCGGGTGATCAGCCATCACGTTATCACCAGCCAATGATTAATGATCGCCGTTCTTATCGTTCTTTGATTCTCCTGACTAGACAATATAAATGCAGAATGTTCAGAATAAATGAGTAGGTCATGGATATTGAAACTCATCCAAATAGTTAAATAATTCAACCGAAAGCGGTATCAAGCAGAATTAGCTGGTTTTGAATGTTTCCAACCGGGTCTAATTGTTTCAGTTTAAAGCAGGACTCAAAACTGTCAGAAAACGTTTCGTACCCTTTGACCTAATACTTAAGAACAATTGTTTGTTTGCAGTGTTTTGAGGGGTTGCCGAAGTTTTGATATTAAAAGCTACAAAACAACATCCCCATAATAGAAAGAAACAGCCTCCAGCAGGAGTGGATTGTACGATACTGACTGCATCATATTTATGAATCACGACCACACAATTATGACACAAAAATGTTCTTGAAGTTGAGTGTATCCTGCCCCACCGTTGGCACCAGTCACAAACACATGCAAAGACCAGTCAACTGTTCACCTGAAAACACACGGGACGATAGGGCAAAAGACAAAACGGGATTAGCATCGGACATCATGTGTGTCACCGATGCGTCTAATTTAGAAATGTCCTCCACATGTCTACCATAAAACCTTTTGAAAGCTTTGCTGAGGTCTTTAATGTTGTAACTTTGTTCTGACAACTTCTGAGCAAGCGTCGTATGACGAAATCTTAATATATTTGAAATCTCCGTAGAAAGACCATACTCGAATGTTCTTTAAAAGTTGTGAAATGTAGACACCAAAGGTTTCTCGACATGAAGGGAAAGTTGACAATGGCAAACAGTCGTGTGAAGAGCTTTTGTCACTCTGAATCTTTATGCTTAGATCTAAATATGGTAGAGAATTCCATTACATTGCCATTAACAATGATGAGTTGGTTCTCCTGTGATTTGTGATGTCACCCCATACCACTGGACGTCGGGGCCGTAAGTTGTGTTCTGTCACTAATTGGTCTCAAGCCAGGAACTGTCCGAGCTGTTAATGTGACAGTTTGGTATCGTATCCGTAGATGCACCAACCGAATATGGTTGTCTTATTGACGTGACCCTCACACGCGGACGACCGGCCCGTGGTAAGTCATGAGTGTTGCCCTGCTGTAGATAAGGTTTCCTTAGGGATGAAGTTGTGTTTCGCTGAACATTAAAATAACAGGTTACTTCGTTATGCGCCATTCCTGTTTGCAGCATACCCACAGCATGAATATGTTGATGTCAGCAAGCCGCGGCATTGCGTATGAGCACCTAATAGCTAAACCACGCGTGTGGGTATCATGCCCCCAACAAACAAACAACCAACCACTTTGTATAAACATGGAGGTGCCCACTCTGAATCACGACCTTAAAGTTGAGGACATATCTTCATGAATATGTTTTGAATGATGCATTATTTCATTTCAGAGTACTTGTTTTTAACTTTATGAAGAGAATCCATTGTGATTGCAAAGTCCAGGCCACCATTCTTGAGGGACAGCCCATAAACATTCGGGTGCATCGGGGAGGCTCATCATATCATGGCCAGTACACCATTGTCGTTAAATGGCCTCATCATATCATGGCCAGTGCACCA